AATTTTAGTTACCAATGTGATTATGCGAACCTATTTCAGAATTTTCTTCTTCGTAACTTGGAGCAGCTTTGAAAACTCCAAAGCTGATAAATTCAGAGTTACATTACCAGTTTTAGCTTCTCAGGTGTACTTTCTTCTATACGTGCACATTACCACTCAATATGCAGAAGATCTACATCGAGTGTAAAAGAGCAGGTCATGTTATTGCTCAAAGTAATTTTGTTTGGTTGAGTTCGTCTTCAAAATATCTTACGTTACTGTTAAAGTATGTGTTAACTAGTTTTTTAAACTGTTTTAAAGGATTACGAAGTACCTTAACACTGGAAATTTGGAGAGGAACATACCAAATGTTTCAACATGCTACATTACATATCTAGGTCATCTCGAAAGGATCTTGCCATAGATCCATAAGGTAAATAGTGTTTTAAGTACTTTGTGACAGCTTCATTTATGTTAGCAGCTGAGTTTTTAGATGATAACTGAAGAGTTTTGGTACCAATTTTACTTATCAGTTTGTAATCTTTTCTTTTGTTGTAACCCCACACACATGGAATTGAACATTTTACTTTCGCTTCTCAGATGTGCTTTCGTCCACACTTGCACATCACCACTCAATATGCAGAAGGTCTACATCGAGTGTAAAAAGGCAGGACACAATGTTATTTGTGGAATTTTTGGTTAGACATTGTTCCTTTGTGCAATTTCGATTTATTCAGTATTTTTGTTGTTATTGTTGGTTTGATAGATTACCTGCAGGATATGCGAGAGGAAGTAGTCTGTTTGGTTTCGGTGATGGTCCAACAGGAATCATGAATGGGGCATATATCGAGCTACTTCTGAGTTTGTGTATCCTTATAGAAACTAGGTATGAGATGATTTGGTTTTGAGGTTCATGTCGGTTTATTTCGGTTTGGTTTCGGTTTCGGATGTTTAGGTTTATGAAAACATAGAAAACTGAATAGAAATAATGACCATCATTCGGTTTATTTTAGCCGTTTATTGTCTTTTCAGTTTGGTTCGGATTGATTTTCCCGGATCAGATACTCTTAATAATTGGGATTGATTTTAAACAGTACGTTTACTGAAAGAAGTTTGTTAAGATCATTTCAAGAGTGGTTTGTTGGAGTAATCAAATTATAATTATAAAGATTTGGACCTAGAAGCTCTATGTATTTAAAGATATGCATCTTTTGTTTAATCTTAGTAGTTTCTGTTGTCCTTTCTTTGCAAGGTGGAAGAGACAAGATTGAAACTCCAGAGCAGGTAAAAAGGTTTTTCTCAATGTTGTGTGTGGCTTTCAAGCTAATTCTTAAGTTTAATCCTTCTTCCAGGTTTTTGTCTTCAACCTTTTCTTCTGCTTAGTTTTTTCTTTTTTGCTTTTATAGTTTTCAGTTGCATTCTCCTTTCTTCTTATACATGATCACATTTAATAGTTAATGTCAACTTCTCTCAGAAACCAAAAAGCTCTGATGTCAACTTCTCTCAGAAGGTCTACATCGAGTGTAAAAAGGCAGGACACAATAGTGTTTGTGGAATTTTTTGTTAGACATTGTTCCTTTGTGAAATTTCGATTTATTCAGGCTTTTAAAGATTATGAATTGAGATTGTAGTTTTCTTGTTGTTGTTGGTTTGATAGATAACTTGCAGGAATATGTGGAAGGAAGTAGTCTGTTTGGTTTCCGTGGCGGTCCAAATATATTGAGTTTAATACTTCTGAGTTTGTGTATCTTTATAGAAACCAGGTATGAGATGATTTGGTTTTGAGGTTTATGTAGGTTTATTATGTTCGGTTTGGTTTCAGTTTGGAATGTCTAGGTTCATGAGAACATAGAAAACTAAGATCTTTGCAAGAATGGTTTGTTGGAGTAATCAGAATTTGATCATAAAGAGTTGGGCCTAGAAGCTTTATGTATTTTCAGATTTGCATTGTGTTTATTCTTAGTAGTTTCTGTTGTGCCTTTTTTTGCAAGGTGGATTTGATATGGTATGCAGTAAAAGAGACAAGATTGAAACTCCAGAGCAGGTAGAAAGGTTTTTTCTCAATGTTGTGACTTAGTTAGATGCTACACATTGCAGTTTCAGCAAGCTGAAGAGACTGTGACAAAGTTGGTCTTGTGGTGACTCCAATACTAATGCTTGTCTCCTTGCAGAACACTTCAGGTATTTTTTGAAATTGTTTAAGATGAATGAGATTCACTTCTCTCTGTTTTGCGATTTAATGACTGGTTTCGCATTTTGCTGTTTGCTTTTTTGCTTCCTTATTTGTGCTTGTTTGCCTCCTTGGTTCTATGCGTGCTTGCTTCCCTCCTTGGTTCTATGTGTGCTTGTTTGCTTCCTTGGTTTCTTGTGTGCGTGCTTGCTTCCCTCCTTGGTTCTATGTGTGTTTGTTTGCTTCCTTGGTTCTATGTGTGTGTGCTTGCTTGCTTCCTTGGTTTCCTGTGTACTTGTTTGCTTCCTTATCTTTTATTTGATCTCGTGATTCTTTACTTTTTCTCTACTAAGATTGTTTAACTTCTTTATTTCCTTACTCACTTATTCGTCATGGCTAACTCTCTAGGTTTCTGTATTAGACAGATCTAGGTTTTTGTTTGAAATTAGTACAGATGGAGACTCCTGAGCGTCTATCAAGGAAAAGTCCTCGTCGTCATCAATGTCGCTGCCACATGGACCATCCCCTTTATTGCTGTTTATGTGCAACAACGGTTTCCTCCAATCCAGTTATAAAAGAATCAAGGTCTGATCATTCTGCTCTCTTTATTTCTTCATCAAGTCATTTATTATACAGCTTATATATATAGGTGCCGTGGGTTATACTGATGCAAGGTTCTAAGATTTGAAAACATATATAATGCTAACCTCTCAGATGCTGGTTTTCTTATTTCAGGTCCGACGCAAATGGAGCTTTGAAATGGATGACAGATGAAATTTTAAAGAAAAACCCCTTCCAGAGCAAGAAACGGACTTTTGGAAGAACGCATGATAAGTTGAGTCAATATTTTGAGATAATTAAGTAACCTTTTAAGCAGTTGTTATGGTCTCAGAGAGACTGTTGTTTCACTATTTCAGGTCTATTGCAAAGGGAGTTCTAAAATGGTTCTAAAGAAGAAAAACCAAAAAAACTGTAACAAGCAACAGACTTGTGGCGAACATCAAAGATTTTGCAGGGAAGTTGGTTTTAAAACTATATACTAAATTGTAAGCTTTGTTTATGTTCTCAAATCAGAATAACATATATAATAATGTTGTACCTCTCAGACATTGTTTTGCTTATTTCAGGTCCATCGCAAATGGAGCTCTAACAATCTCTAAGGTGCAATCCTCTTTGTCTTTTTTCGCTCATACAGTTTGAATTTACATTCTCATTTACGGTAACAAACTTTTAGTTACCAATGTGATTATGCGAACCTATTTCAGAATTTTCTTCTTCGTAACTTGGAGCAGCTTTGAAAACTCCAAAGCTGATAAATTCAGAGTTACATTACCAGTTTTAGCTTCTCAGGTGTACTTTCTTCTATACGTGCACATTACCACTCAATATGCAGAAGATCTACATCGAGTGTAAAAGAGCAGGTCATGTTATTGCTCAAAGTAATTTTGTTTGGTTGAGTTCGTCTTCAAAATATCTTACGTTACTGTTAAAGTATGTGTTAACTAGTTTTTTAAACTGTTTTAAAGGATTACGAAGTACCTTAACACTGGAAATTTGGAGAGGAACATACCAAATGTTTCAACATGCTACATTACATATCTAGGTCATCTCGAAAGGATCTTGCCATAGATCCATAAGGTAAATAGTGTTTTAAGTACTTTGTGACAGCTTCATTTATGTTAGCAGCTGAGTTTTTAGATGATAACTGAAGAGTTTTGGTACCAATTTTACTTATCAGTTTGTAATCGTTTCTTTTGTTGTAACCCCACACACATGGAATTGAACATTTTACTTTCGCTTCTCAGATGTGCTTTCGTCCACACTTGCACATCACCACTCAATATGCAGAAGGTCTACATCGAGTGTAAAAAGGCAGGACACAATGTTATTTGTGGAATTTTTGGTTAGACATTGTTCCTTTGTGCAATTTCGATTTATTCAGTATTTTTGTTGTTATTGTTGGTTTGATAGATTACCTGCAGGATATGCGAGAGGAAGTAGTCTGTTTGGTTTCGGTGATGGTCCAACAGGAATCATGAATGGGGCATATATCGAGCTACTTCTGAGTTTGTGTATCCTTATAGAAACTAGGTATGAGATGATTTGGTTTTGAGGTTCATGTCGGTTTATTTCGGTTTGGTTTCGGTTTCGGATGTTTAGGTTTATGAAAACATAGAAAACTGAATAGAAATAATGACCATCATTCGGTTTATTTTAGCCGTTTATTGTCTTTTCAGTTTGGTTCGGATTGATTTTCCCGGATCAGATACTCTTAATAATTGGGATTGATTTTAAACAGTACGTTTACTGAAAGAAGTTTGTTAAGATCATTTCAAGAGTGGTTTGTTGGAGTAATCAAATTATAATTATAAAGATTTGGACCTAGAAGCTCTATGTATTTAAAGATATGCATCTTTTGTTTAATCTTAGTAGTTTCTGTTGTCCTTTCTTTGCAAGGTGGAAGAGACAAGATTGAAACTCCAGAGCAGGTAAAAAGGTTTTTCTCAATGTTGTGTGTGGCTTTCAAGCTAATTCTTAAGTTTAATCCTTCTTCCAGGTTTTTGTCTTCAACCTTTTCTTCTGCTTAGTTTTTTCTTTTTTGCTTTTATAGTTTTAAGTTGCATTCTCCTTTCTTCTTATACATGATCACATTTAATAGTCTAGACGATAATGTGAATTTATCTCAGAAACCAAAAAGCTCTATATGGCGGGCATGACCTAGTTGGGACGGTAAAAAAATCCTTTCAATACACATATAGAATAAAGGTATGTTTTCTGTTATTACCCTACGAGTGTTTATTTGAATATTTTGAGATTATATAATTGTGAAATGAGATACTGTTAAATTTTCGTATGTATGTCGTCTTCGATCTCTTTACCCTCTCACGATGAAGAACAGTCTCCAATTGAATAATAACTCTGGTATGGGAGGTATGGGTTCTGTTTTTCTGCATCTCTTACTTCACTTTTGGAGCAATCTTCACTTCCAGGTTTCAGATATTCATCTTTGTTTCAAATACTTGTGACAAAATTATTAGTTTTCTTGTCTGTGCTGAATTTTGATAATTGCATTTATTTTCTTGCATTTGGGGATTGTGCTTTTTTAGGCAATGGTTGCCATCAGTGGTTTCACTGCGTCGTCTTAATCATGAGCTTTTAGCTGATAAATTGAGAGTTACGGTACCATTTTTACTTATCAGTTTGTAATCTTGTCTTTTATTGTAACCCCACACATTATCATGGAATTGAACATTTTACATTCGCTTCTCAGGTATAATTTCTTGCAAGACTTGCACATTATCACTCACTATGCAGAAGGTCTACATCGAGTGTTGAAAAGCAGGTCATGTTCTTGCTCAAAGTAATTTGGTGCTACTTGTGTTACTGTTAAAGATGTGTTAACTAGTTTCTTAAACTGTTTCAAAGTAATTTGGTGCTGCTTGAAGGTATGTCTTTTGATATGTCTTTATTCCAAAGATTTTGTGATCTAGCAATGAGGATTGGTTCTTATTTATGTGTTCATTCGTATAGGTTTGAACAAAGATCTCAAGAGAATGATTAGTGAACATGCTGAGTTTGGGGCATTATCTTTTAAGGATATTCGTTCGGCTTCAGATGGAACTAGGAAGGTGAATAGATCGTTTCTTTTTTTTGTATAAATAGTTGATAAGTATTCTGAAGTCCATATTTTGCGATGGTTATGAGTCACTTACTGGGCAACGGTTATATCTCAGTAAGTTTTTGGGGAATCTTCTCATTGATTAATAACTCGCAGGATGTTGCAGTCTCTGTTCACGTTGGATGATGGACTTGTGATTGAGACAGTTGTTATACCTTGGGATCGAGGCAGGACAATAGCTTGTGTTTCCAGCCAAGTAGGTTGTGCCATGAATTGTCAGTTCTGCTACACTGGCCAGAAGACTGCAGATATTCGCTTGAGCCACTTTCTCAGCTCTTGATTTTGTTTTAATGTATGTTTGGACAGTTTAACACTGAAAATTGGGAGAGGAACTTAACAATTATTTCAACATGCTACATGATCAATCTAGGTCATCTCGAAGGATATTGCCACAGATTCATAAGGTAAATAGTGTTTTAAGTACTTTGTCACAGCTTCGATTATGTTAGCAACTGAGACTTCCATTTTCATATATATTGAATTAATTAATGATTTTACTATTTGTGTTTTGTTGATCTTAAGTGTCTGCGGTGGTGTGGTAAGAATGACGACAGAAACATCAGAGTAACACAATACCTCTGATTTTTGGTAATTGGATTTGTACTTATTCCATTTATGCCCCAGGAAGTTTATACGTATATCGTGATGGTGTAAGTCTTATATATCTCTACTCATTTAATCAGTAATACTCATGCTAAAAGGGGTGGGTGCGTTTAATGAAACTATCTAATTTAGACATTCAACAAGTACTTACTCTACTTAACGCCTAACATAAATGATTTATCATGCATCTTTTGATTGATCTAAAATTTTTAGGTTCAAAACAATGGAAGCAAACATTGAACTATTTTAGAGAAAAACCAAGAACCGGAGATTTTGCAGGGTAAGATGGTTTCAATAGTTTTGAACTTATATCCAGTAAATTGTAACAAATATAATGTTGTACCCCTGACGTTGTTTTGCTTCTTTCAGGTCCATCGCAAATAGAGCTCTAACAACCTCTTGTTTCTGTAGGTATATGTCTTATTACGCTTTGCTGTTTAGTTTTGCTCTTATAGTTTGAAATTATATTACCATCAACGGTAGCGGATTTAGTTGTCTAAGTGACTATGTGAAATCATTTATTATGCTATGACATCTTCTGATTTGTTTTTTTAGATAACGGATACCAATCTTCACAGGTCTGAGTTTTGGTGGGGTTGTGTTTTCATTAGTGTTCGAAGAAGATTTATACGTGTATTTTGTTGCTGAAGATGTCGAGGGAATTCACAGGGCTTACTTGAATCTTTGGTCTACCCATTTAGTCAGCAACCTTGACGCTATATTGTTTGTAATTGGTAAGGTAGTTTAGTTATTTTATCAGACATTCAAAAATTTTGTATTCTATGTAAGGCGGAGAAATCATGCAGAACTAATCATGTATATTTTCATTAATTTTGTCTTTTAGGTGACAACAATTGAAGGAGGTACTGAATAGCAGATACTTCATCTGGTGATGTGTTGGTCCTGGCCAAAAAAGTGCACCAAAACTGAATATAGACTATAGGAAAAGAGGCAACCTCTAGAGTTCCATCTTCAAGCTGCTTAAGTTTAGTCCTTCTTCCAGGTTTTTGTCGTCATTCTTTTCTTCTGCTTAGTTTTTTGTTTTTTGCTTTTATAGTTTTAAGTTGCATTCTCCTTTCTTCTTATACATGATCACATTTAATAGTTAATGTCAACTTCTCTCAGAAACCAAAAAGCTCTAATGTCAACTTCTCTCAGAAGGTCTACATCGAGTGTAAAAGGGCAGGTACAATAGTATTTGTGGAATTTTTGGTTAGACATTGTTCCTTTGTGAAATTTCGATTTATTCAGGCTTTTAAAGATTATGAATTGAGATTGTAGTTTTGTTGTTGGTTTGATAGATAACTTGCAGGAATATGTGGAAGGAAGTAGTCTGTTTGGTTTCCGTGGCGGTCCAAATATATTGAGCTTAATACTTCTGAGTTTGTGTATCTTTATAGAAACCAGGTATGAAATGATTTGGTTTTAAGGTTTATGTAGGTTTGTTATGTTCGGTTTGGTTTCGGTTTCGAATGTCTAGGTTCATGAGAACATAGAAAACTAAGATCTTTTCAAGAATGGTTTGTTGGAGTAATCAAAATTTGATCATAAAGAGTTGGACCTAGAAGCTTTATGTATTTACAGATTTGCATTGTGTTTATTCTTAGTAGTTTCTGTTGTGCCTTTTTTTGCAAGGTGGATTTGATATGGTATGCAGTAAAAGAGACAAGATTGAAACTCCAGAGCAGGTAGAAAGGTTTTTTCTCAATGTTGTGACTTAGTTAGATGCTACACATTGCAGTTTCAGCAAGCTGAAGAGACTGTGACAAAGTTGGTCTTGTGGTGACTCCAATACTAATGCTTGTCTCCTTGCAGAACACTTCAGGTATTTTTTGAAATTGTTTAAGATGAATGAGATTCACTTCTCTCTGTTTTGCGATTTAATGACTGGTTTCGCATTTTGCTGTTTGCTTTTTTGCTTCCTTATTTGTGCTTGTTTGCCTCCTTGGTTCTATGTGTGCTTGCTTTCTTCCTTGGTTTCTTGTGTGCGTGCTTGCTTCCCACCTTGGTTCTATGTGTGCTTGTTTGCTTCCTTGGTTCTATGTGTGTGTGCTTGCTTGCTTCCTTGGTTTCTTGTGTGCGTGCTTGCTTCCCTCCTTGGTTCTATGTGTGCTTGTTTGCTTCCTTGGTTCTATGTGTGTGTGCTTGCTTGCTTCCTTGGTTTCTTGTGTGCGTGCTTGCTTCCCTCCTTGGTTCTATGTGTGTTTGTTTGCTTCCTTGGTTCTATGTGTGTGTGCTTGCTTGCTTCCTTGGTTTCTTGTGTACTTGTTTGCTTCCTTATTTTCTTTCTTGCTTGATTCTTTGATTTCGTTGTTTACTTTCTTGCTTGCTTCCTTATCTTTTATTTGATCTCGTGATTCTTTACTTTTTCTCTACTAAGATTGTTTAACTTCTTTATTTCCTTACTCACTTATTCGTCATGGCTAAATCTCTAGGTTTCTGTATTAGATAGTTCTAGGTTTTTGTTTGAAATTAGTACAGATGGAGACTCCTGAGCGTCTATCAAGGAAAAGTCCTCGTCGTCATCAATGTCGCTGCCACATGGACCATCCCCTTTATTGCTGTTTATGTGGAACAACGGTTTCCTCCAATCCAGTTATAAAAGAATCAAGGTCTGATCATTCTGCTCTCTTTATTTCTTCATCAAGTCATTTATTATACAGCTTATATATATAGGTGCCATGGGTTATACTGATTCAAGGTTCTTAAATTTGAAAACATATATAATGCTAACCTCTCAGATGCTGGTTTTCTTATTTCAGGTCCGACGCAAATGGAGCTTTGAAATGGATGACAGATGAAATTTTAAAGAAAAACCCCTTCCAGAGCAAGAAACGGACTTTTGGAAGAACGCATGATAAGTTGGAGTCAATATTTTGAGATAATTAAGTAACCTTTAAGCAGTTGTTATGGTCTCAGAGAGACTGTTGTTTCACTATTTCAGGTCTATTGCAAAGGGAGTTCTAAAATGGTTCTAAAGAAGAAAAACCAAAAAAACTGTAACAAGCAACAGACTTGTGGCGAACATCAAAGATTTTGCAGGGAAGTTGGTTTTAAAACTATTTACTAAATTGTAAGCTTTGTTTATGTTCTCAAATCAGAATAACATATATAATAATGTTGTACCTCTCAGACATTGTTTTGCTTATTTCAGGTCCATCGCAAATGGAGCTCTAACAATCTCTAAGGTGCAATCCTCTTGTTTCTAAAAGGTATGTGTCTTATCTCGCTCATACAGTTTGAATTTACATTCTCATCTATGGTAACAAACTTTAGGTTATCAATGTGATTATTCGAGCCTATTTCAGAATTGCCTTCTTCTTCGTAACTTGGAGTAGCTTTGAAAACTCCAAAGCTGATAAATTTAGAGTTACAGTACCAGTTTAGCTTTTCAGGTATACTTTCTTCTATACGTGCACATCACCACTCAATATGCAGAAGATCTACATCGAGTTGAAGAAAGTAGGTCATATTCTTGCTCAATGTAATTTCTATTGCTTCAGTCCGTCTTCAAAATATCTTGCAAACTGTCTCAGGACTACAAAGAACCTTATATTTTTAATTGTGTAATGAGATACTTTTACCATTTCGTATGTATGTCATCTTAGATCTCTTTACCCTCTCACGATGAAGAACAGTCTCCAATTGAATAATAACTCTGGTATGGTTCTCATACTTCACTTTTGGAGCAATCTTCACTTCCAGGTTTGAGATATTCATCTTTGTTTCTAATATTTGTGACAAATGATTGGTTTTCTTGTGTGCTGAATTTCAAATATTTGTTGCATTTGGGATTGTGCATTTTAGGCAATGGTTGCCATCAGCGGTTTCACTGTCTCGTCGTAATCATTGGATTTTGGCTGATAAATTAATAGTTACGGTACCAATTTTACTTATCAGTTTGTAATTGTCTATTGTAACCCAGACACATGGAATTGAACATTTTACAGTCGCTTCTCAGGCATATTTTCTTCAAGACTTGAATTACCCCTCAATATGCAGAAGGTCTAGATCGAGTGTTAAAAAGCAAGTCATGTTCTTGCTCAAAGTAATTTGGTTTGCTTTAGTCCGTCTTCAAAATTTCTTGTTTTACAATGTGTTAACTAGTTTCTTAAACTGTTTCAGGACTATGAAGAACCTTAACAGTGGAAATTGAGAAAGGATCTAGCCACAGATTCATAAGGTAAATATTGTTTTAAGTACTTTGTCACAGCTTCGTTGACTGAGATGTCCATTTGCGTATATATTGAATTTATCAATGATTTACTATTTGTGTTTTGTTGATCTTAAGTGTTTGTGATCGTGTAGAAACATCAAAGTAACACAATAACTCCGATTATTGGAATTTGGATTTGTACTTCTTCCATTTATGTCCCAGGAAGCTAAGTTTGTACGTATATCGTGATGTTGAAGATGTCACAAAATTCAAAGTGATGGTGTAAGTCTTATATATCTCTACTCATTTAATCAGTAGTATTGATGCTAAAAGGGGTGGGTGCGTTTAATGAAACTATCTAATTTAGACATTCAGCAAGTACTTGCTCTACTTAACGCATAACATCAAAGATTTATAAAGTATCTTTTGATTGATCTAAAAGTGTTAGGTCCAAAACAATGGAAGCAAACATTGAACTATTGTGGAGAAAAACCAAGAACTGGAGATTTTGCAGGGTAAGATGGTTTCAATAGTTTTGAAATTATATCCAGTAAATTGTAAGCTTTTGTTATGTTCTTTAATCAGAATAACATATATAATGTTGTACCTCTCTGACATTGTTTTGCTTATTTCAGGTCTATCGCAAATAGAGCTCTAATAACCTCTTGTTTCTGTAGGTATGTGTCTTAGTTTTGCTCGTATAGTTTGAAATTGCATTATCATTTACGGGTAGTGGATTTAGTTGTCAACGTGACTATGTGAACCTATCTCAGAATTAAACTCTTATGTCACTGTGTTTTGTTCGCTAGATTTTAAGAAACAAAGTTTCTTCTTCGTAACTTGGAGTAGCTTTGAAAACTCCAAAAATGATCAAAATTCTATTTACTTCTGATGCGTTTTAGGTATAGCTATTTTTGGATGTGAGAAATGTGAAGCTTGAGCTGGTAGCAGGTAGCATCTTCTGATTTGTTACTTCATAACTGATACCAATCATCCCGGTTCTGAGTTTTGGTATGTGGGGTTGCGTTTTCATTAGTGCTCCAAGAAGATTTTATACCTGTATTTTGTAACTGAAGATTTCCACGGAATTCACAGGTCTTACTTGAATCTTTGTTCTACCCATTTATTCAGCAACCTTGATGCTATACTGTGAGTAACTAGTAAGGTAATTTAGTTTTTTTATCAGAGAATCGACAATTATTTGTTCTACGTAAGGCGTTGCAATCATGCATAACTAATCATGTATTTTTTTTTTCATTAATTTTATCTTTTTAGGTGACAACAAGAGAAAGAGTTACTGAATAATGGATACTCCATCTAGCGATGTGTTGGTCCTAGCCAAAAAGGTGCACCAAAACTGAAAATGGACTATCCGCAACGACCGCTCATCTACTCTATATATACTAAATCGAATAACGTATTTTGTCTTAAATCTATATTAGGTGTCTGGTCAATCGAACTAAACCAACAAAGGAGTACGAGTCTAACAGTGCAAGAGAGTGGAAACTGCGTGGAAACTGCTTGGAGTAATAACATATGCTACGTCTCTACTAAAACACTTTGTAAGTTGTTATTTTATTCATCTTAAAACGTCTCTAATACAGAGATCATAGATCTATACGTTTTTTATAATCTCAATATTAGTAGTCCTCTTGATGTTATACTATTTCATATCCACTTAGAGACTGATATTATCCCTTCATTTGTATGTCTGGAACTGGTAGTTTAAAAGTACCCCATTATAGCTCTGAAAACAAGACAACTTAAGTTACAGAGAAAAGCAAATTTAGAAAGAATTCAATAGAAAAGGTCCAAGGCCTACATTTTGATGATTTTGAATTGATATCGTTAATATGTAAACTTTTGATGTGTTCTCAAATCTGTAACATATATAAGATATACATACTTTTATTTGCAGATCAAAATGCTTGAGAGACAACCTCTAGAGTTCCATCGTTCAGTTTCTTAAGTTCAACTCTTGTCTCAGATATGTTTTCAATCTCTTGCTTCTATTTAGTCTTCAATTTCGCTCTTACTGCAGTTTGAATTTATCATCTCTTTTCTTTATATGCAGTATCAGTCTATCACATTCATAGCCAATGTGGCTATCTCACTAACCAAAAACTTCCACGTAAGGTATGCACCACCCAGATTACGGTATGGACGGAAAGGAAGTGATTATTGTTAAAGTGTATACGTAGTACATACATTACATCACATGCATACACATTCATACATTACATTAATTTACATGCATACATTCATATATTAGACATAGACATTCATGCATGCATATGCATTCGCATTTGTGTATATATGCTGCTTCTTTGGTTCCTAACTTTAATTGTTCGTTGTTTCTTTCTTACATGTTTAACGTGTTTACTTGTTTTCTTCTCTGCTTATTACTAGCTTCATTGTTTGTTTTTTTTGCTCAACTTGTTTGTTTGCTTCTTTGATTCCTCTGTTTCGTGCATTGCTTGTTTCTCTGCTTCTTTGATTCCTCTGTTTAGTGCATTGCTTGCTTTTGTGCTTCCCTGATTCATCTATTTAGTGCGTTGTTTGTTTTTGTTTGCTTCCTCTGCTTAGTTCATTACTTCCTTCTTTATTTGCTTTTTTGCTTCTTTATTTTCTCAATGGCTTCCTTGATTGCTTAGCTTCTTTAATTCATTTGTTTTAGTAAATTTCTTGTTTCTTTGATATTTTTTTTGCTTAGGGCGTTACTTGCTTCCTTGATATCTCTCAATACTTGCATGTTTCTTTGTTTTTCACGTTTTCTGTATCGTGTCTATTTGCTACAGTATATCATTTTGTAGCGTGTTCACTTTCACACACAAAATCTAACGAGCTTTAACATGATTATTCAATATAGTTTTAGTAATTTATTGCGACATAACATTTTTTTTGGTTCAGATTCCGATATTAACTTACTTACTCCGCACACTAACTAACTAACTAGCTCTATCTAACATAATTTCTTCAAGATCTGAATACATTTTAATTTTTTACTGTTTTATTGCATTAAACACTATTATCCGTTATATTTACCTATTTTTGTTCGTTTAGACTATGAAAATTTAAGCAGCTGACACTGAAAGATTTTGTAGAATAACTTTGTAATATGTTGTATGTATTATTCGACTTCATGACTCTTGTGTACAAACGATTAGTTTTGTTTTACAATGATAAATAAATGATATTTTAACTGAGAAGCCTAAACCCGCTCCAAAAAATTCAACGTCTTCTCACTAAGCAGATTTCATGACTGCATTATGATATATAACAAATTCTTCATTCAATGTCTATGTCTAATATATGAATGTATGCATGTAAATTAATGTAATGTATGAATGTGTATGCATGTGATGTAATGTATGTACTACGTATACACTTGTATGAATGTGTATGCATGTAATGTAAACTAAGCAGATTTCATGACTGCATTATGATATATAACAAATTTTTCATTAATTACATAAAATCTCAACTTGTATCTTTTTTAAATTTGACCAGTTTTTACTTACATAACTTGAACAATTTGTATTTTTATTTAATTGACATCGCAACAACAAATCACAAAGACACAAACCAATAAGACTACCTAATCACTTTATTAATTACACAACAGACAAATAAAATTTTGATTATTCAGACCCTTTTCCATAGTATGAGAGGATCAGAGGAATATTCTTCAAGATACCTTTTAACATTCCCCAAAGGCCCGAACAATCCAAAATATTTTTTTATTATCGAAAAAAAAGCTCTCTCCGTTTCCGCTTAGCTCTCAATACCATCATGACGTTAGATAGTTACGCCGGCGATGTTCACACCGTACCACAATCGGAGAACTCGATGGAGGAGAGAGGCGGCGGTGAGCTTTTCGTGCCACCTCTTAACTTCGCTATGGTCGATAATGGAATTTTCCGTTCTGGTTTTCCTGAACCCGTCAGTTTCAGCTTCCTCCAGTCTCTGCGACTCCGATCCATCATGTAATTTTTCACTCAATTTTGATGCTTAATTAGGTCAGCTTCGTCGTCTTAATCTCAAATTGTCGCTTATGTACAAGAATCGCTTTGAAGAATTTTGTTGATATGGAGATATAATAGCTAGGGTTTATAGAGTGACGAAATGTGAAATGGTCAAAGGAATAGTCTCTAATCTATTGATTATTGTTTTGAATGTGTATTGATTTAGATATTTGTGTCCTGAGGCATATCCAGAGGTGAATAGAGAATTTGCAAAATCAAATGGGATCCAAGTTTTTCAATTTGGAATTGAAAGATGCAAGGTGAGATTGGTGATACTAATTATTTGTTTTTTTTGCTCTCGTTATCGATGTTTTTGAAGCTTTGAATCGCCTCTTCTTAGTTGTTGCATAGTCTGTGGTTCTATGATGGTTGTTTCAATTCCTCACCTCCCAAAAGCTCTCTCATATTGGTGGAATCATGAGTCTTTCTGAATCTCATAAGAATGGATCATATCTTCATATGCTTATTCTAGGTTGTTGCTTCTGTCGTAAACTTGTGTTTAGCATGTGATGACTGATGAGATAAACATATTTTGTACTTGAGACTGATAATTTGATGGTTCTCTCTGTTTTTTTCAGGAACCCTTTGTTAATATCCCTGACGAGGTAATCCGAGAAGCATTACAAGTACTTCTAGGTACCCTCTCTTGTCTCTCTAAACCTATTTTCATCGAGACTAACAAGTGTTTAGATCATCTAATCCTTGACTTCCTTCATGCCTTTTTTTAACCAGATACAGAGAATCATCCTGTCTTGATTCATTGCAAAAGTGGCAAGGTAAATTGAGACATCTCTCCTCTGCTTAACCCTAGTCACAATATGATCGAAATAATCCTTATATCTTGTCTCTCTCTCTCGGTTGCAGCATCGGACGGGATGTCTTGTAGGTTGTGTGAGGAAGATTCAGAGATGGTGTTTGTCCTCTATCTTCGATGAGTACCAAAGATTCGCAGCTTCGAAAGCTAGAATCTCAGACCAAAGATTCATGGAGCTCTTTGACATCTCCAATCTAAAGCATTCACCACTCCACTTCTCATGTTCCAAGAGGTATAATAATAATACTATTGATTACTGAAAAACAAAATGTATTTATGTGTTGAATGCAAGTTGTAGTTTCTAAGCTAGATGATGAAAATGGGAGATTTTCTTATCTTTCAATAAAAATACGTTTATTCCAAATTAAATAAATAAAAATTGGATCGGATCGTCGTAGAAATAAACGAGACACTCCTTTAATCCTTTTAAATGCTATCATGTAGAACAAGTTTGTCATAAATTTTTGTACTGTGTTGTTTTTTTTTTTTGTACTCAAGTTTATCAGAACTGAATCATAGCAAAAAATTAAATAATTAGACAGAAAGTCATTTTATCTAAATTAAAAGTGAAACGTTTAGTATTATTTCGTGTTAAATTCAATTTAAAGAGAATAATATATAATAATAACTCCAATCGTAATTCGGACGTAACCGAAAAAAGCTTTAAAACCCCAGCGATACACAAATTCCAAAACACTTCACACTCTCTCTTCAATGGCGGAATTTTTTTTCAGAATCCATTCTTATTTATTTTTCTCGTAATCCTCTCTTCTTTAACACGTCTGTAGCTGAGTCGACAATGAGTCAACTCGCTGTTGAAACTAGTCAAGCCCAGCCGGAGACGCCACAGTCAACGACATTCCTCGATTTGCTCCGACTTCAAATGGACGGTGGTGTCGATCGAACTAGGAGAAGGAAACGAACACTTAAAGAACGGTTAGGATTCAAACGAATCGGATGCTGTGGTCCAACATGGGGTCTCCGGTTAACCAGTAACACTCGCGAAGACGACGAAGAACCATATGAAACCCGATTCGTTTCCGGTTCGGATCATGGACCGGGTCCGTTAAATCAAGGTATGAATCTCGCAACGGCGTTAGCAGCGGAGAGAAATTACCGAACAGAGGAAACGACGGCGTCTGGCAGTTTGACGCCGTTAAGAGTATCGTTAATGAGATTGCTTGAAGAAACGGCGGAGAGAGTCGTCGTTGAAGGGAAGGAAACGGAGAGATTAACGGCGTCGTCGTCGACGGTTAAAGGAGGAAATGATTCGGTGTGTTGCGTGTGCATGGGAAGGAAGAAAGGAGCAGCGTTTATCCCATGTGGACATACTTTTTGCAGAGTGTGTTCTCGAGAGGTGTGGCTTAATCGAGGATCGTGTCCCCTTTGTAACCGTCCGATCATCGAGATCCTCGACATTTATTGATACCTGAATCATACGGCTCATATTAGTCCGGTTGCACGTGACTTCAGTGAGGTGCTGGTGTGCCTAGAGATTCACGAGAGTGTTACAAGTGAAATTTAATTACGGTGTCTATGTTTCTCTTATTGGAAATTGGAGTATTATTCATTATTAGAGATTAAAAGTAATTCTAGATTATTAGTATTTTTTTAATTGAAAGATTAGTAATGATGATGCTAAACACATCTTCAAACTCAAGAGCTTAATCGCCAAACTCGGAAATCAGTATAAAAATTGTATTCTCTAATTTGAAGGTATTTGGACCTATTGGTGTATTGGATACAAAACTATTTTATGCATTTTAAATGGGTCTTATTGGTTAATAAAAGGCCCACTAAATATACTATGCAGGCCCATTTAGTCCATACAACTTGTAGTCTTGTACTGTGGATCAATCGCCGTTCGTTGATCTCAGAACGCTCGAAACGCTGCTTAGATATTTTGGATTCGAGAGAATCTTGACCGTCCACAATACTGACGATGGAAGATCACAAAAATCGGCCAAAAAGCAGAGTACACGTCCGAAGATTCTAGATCCATCATGCCATTTGCATGGCGTTTCTCTCGTAGAAAACCCAAACTAATCTCCCCCACACAAATAATGGGACAAAATCTCCCTACCAAAAAAATAATAATAATGGGACAAAATCCAAACTAAACCAAATATTTTAAATATTTCCTGTTGAAGAAAAAAATTCTTCCACAAATTTTATGGATTTTTCACAAAGTCGGCAATTTCAAGTCAATCACTGAAAAAATGAAAATAATCCTCGCTTCATGAGGCCATGTCGAATCGCAAACGATGATCTTTAACCACCCACGTGTCAAAATCATAGCTTAGTTCATTCGTTTTATTCAAAATTCCTATTCTATCCAATATATCTTGACATGTATGGACCATAAGCTTAAGTACAAGTCAAGGGTATATACGTCATTTACTACCCAGCTCAACGGTTATAAAATGTGCGACTTGGAATTTCCTAATTTGTGAGGTTTGAGTTTGTTTCTCTGATTTCATTTGCTTGTGAAGAAAAAAACACAAAAAAACAAAAATGGCGACGGTACCATTGTTCAGCCAATTCCCCTGCAAAACCCTAGTTCCAAGCTCATCAAACACTAAATTCCAGTCAAAATCTCCGATTCTACTGCCGATTAACTCAGTCAATCGGCGATCGGAGATTGGAATCTCTGTTCATCGGCCAGATTTCAAAATCCGAGCGACGGACATCGACGACGAATGGGGTCAAGAAGGAGTTGAGAGAGTATTATCCTCATCGTCACCAGTATCGGTGGCTGAGAAAGTAGCAGACGAAGCTATCGAATCCGTGGAGGAGACGGAGAGGCTAAAGAGATCTCTAGCGGATTCGTTGTACGGAACCGATCGAGGTTTAAGCGCATCGAGTGATACGAGAGCTGAGATCAGTGAGCTTATCACGCAGCTTGAGTCTAAAAACCCTACTCCAGCTCCTAACGAAGCTCTGTTTCTCCTCAACGGCAAATGGATTCTCGCGTAAGTAATTTGTCCTGGTGGAAGTTAATTTTCCGGTGAAAACTGTTTTAGTTCCGTTATGAATGGTTTGATTTAGATAGTGAAGCATGAATTTGGATTATGATTCTGTGTGTTGGCTGTTATAGTTGTATGAGTCTTTGTTTATTTTTAGCCGTTATAGTTGGATATAGCGTCATGTTATTGTTATGAATCAAGAACTTATCTTCAAATGGTAACCTTGTGCAGCTACACATCATTTGTGGGTCTGTTTCCATTGCTCTCACGAAGAATTGAGCCGTTGGTGAAAGTGGATGAGATCTCACAAACCATTGATTCCGATAGCTTCACCGTTCAAAATTCTGTTCGGTTTGCTGGTCCATTTTCCACTACATCGTTTAGCACTAACGCTAAGTTCGAAATCCGGAGTCCTAAACGCGTCCAGGTTAGTCATCAATCTTCATCTTAAACCACAAATGGTAAATGCCCGTTTTACATAACCTATTTGGATTGTTTTTGTTTGTTGTAGATTAAGTTCGAGCAAGGTGTTATCGGGACTCCTCAGCTAACGGATTCGATTGAAATCCCGGAGTCCGTGGAGGTTCTTGGTCAGAAAATCGATCTCAACCCCATTAAAGGGATACTTACGTCGGTCCAAGACACTGCTTCTTCAGTGGCTAGAACCATTTCAAACCAACCACCATTGAAGTTTTCCCTGCCTAGCGACAACACGCAGTCGTGGCTGCTCACAACTTATCTCGACAAAGACCTTCGGATCTCTAGAGGCGATGGCGGAAGCGTCTTTGTTCTCATCAAAGAAGGAAGCTCTCTCTTAAACCCTTAAATCATCATTACTCACATCACTTCCATAGTAAGATATATAGAACTATGTGTCTTGTGTTTGATAGTGTTGTAACTGTTATATAGCTTCTTTACCTGTTGGAGAGTTATGATGGATGTTACTCTTGGAATATATATATACATAGATACGTAATTGAATCGGCCGGTTATGATTTTGCTAAGCCAAGACTAAACATTGATTCACATTCATTAAAGGAGGGTGGATTATGTCTGGCATTTCGGATTTTCCGGTTCAGTTTGGTTAAATGTATGATCAACTAAAACTGAAATTAGTTTGGTTCATCAGGTTGTCAACAAAGGGGTTACCAAATTGAAATCGAAATTGTATCTCAATTCAGATTTTTGTAATTTCAGGTTTCTAATTGCGGTATGTTTGGTTTATAAAATGGCATCTGAATCAGTCTATTTATTACCCATAACACCGGTTTGTTACAAACCGGGTATCTTACACAAACATTTGAAAGAAACAAGTGATCTTTGTTCTCTCTTAGCTACGAAACAGATCAGCACAAACCTCGTAAAAGATCTCGAGAATGGCAGACCGGTATTCGCGAGGATTCATCGATAGATAGTACTCCAAAAGGCTTCTAAGTTCATCTGCTTCCTTGATCTTGTTTGCCACAATCATCTCAACCATGGAGTCTCTAAAATCCTCTCTTGGATCAAAAGAACATTTCTCCATCGCCATCATTACAATGAACTTAGTGCTACTGATGCTACCCTCGCTTCTTCTTCTTCTTCTTCTTCTCATCTTTTGTTGTCTTAATTTCTCTTGATGTGTGGCTTCTTGTGTCTCTCTGATCATCTGCTCTAGCTTCTCCTGAACCATGTAGTGTGCCAAGCTAGAGAGCGAACCGTGCTGGTCTGAAAATCTCGAACTCTTGTCTGATTCTGCCGAAGAACAAGAAGAAATGCTGAGTCTTGCTTTGTTACTGCAACACAAAGCTCTGCAGATTCTTGGTTCTCTGTTTTGGTGTTGTGATTGTTTGTTTAGTTTCTTGTTCTCTCTCTCTGTTTTTTCTTCTGCTCTGTTTACGAGTTTCATGTTGAATGTTTAATCACATTATAATCAGGTTTTGTGGATGAGTAATGTTTGTAAACGCAAAGAGAAAAGAGTTCTAATTTAATCATTTAAGTGTAAATTGAAAATGTGGGGCATGTTCATCATGATTATGTCTTGATCTTAATTCAATTAAAAACTCTAAAGAGTTTTAGACTAGCAAACAAGTTTGCAACGTTATTCATTTGTGTAAAACTAATATTTATTTATTTAGATTTTTCAAAATCATCATCTACGATTTGTGTTCATAATGCAATGCAAAGTTGTACACTTGATGGTTTAGATTGAACTTTAATTTTATTCTTAGAATTGATAAATTTTCTACAAAATCAAAGAAAAGAGTGTGTTTAGTGAAATTTGATTCATTATTTTAAATCAATAAACCAATGATAAATGGACTACTATCACTAAACTATTATATAAGACTTATTGAAAAGAAAAGATTTTGTAGTTCTTGAAAAATATATGTCAAATCAAAAGTTGGAATATAATAGAGAAGATTAGGTATGATTGAGGATAACTGAATTCTTTTTTTAAGAAAGGAGTGCTAAATGCATGTATTTGTGTCGTGTTTTAGAAATATAGGGGTGATTAATTTGATTTATGATGTGATGTAGCCCATCTTCATGTCTACTTTAGTTTTGTTGTTGTTGAAGATTAGATACATATCTAAACTTTATTTTGTAAAGCTTTTGGTAATGTGGAAAAAGTGATCAATATGTAATGTTTTAACTAGTTTGTCTCAATTAGAAATAGAGAGTAAAAAATATCAAGGGCAGCTAATTGTGGTTTTCAAGTGGCTATTGATGAATTCTAACTTCAGAAAACTGTTTTTTTTTTTACATTTTCTCAAAGTACATATTAATTGTTGTAATGTGCCATACATGATTTCGCTAGAACCTATATGATGCAATTTTCATTTTTTTCAGGCTTTACAGTTCAATAGTTTAGACCGGTTAGAATTGTTATATACAAAGCATACATTGTTGCCTTGGAGACAAGACATGCTTTATCTTGCTGGCTTGTACATATACCTCATTTTATGCATTGAGTTTTTACAAATGGAGTTTGTCTTTAAGAACAAGTTATCTCGTGTTATATTCATCAAAAGAGTATATGCAATAATTGGAGATTAACCCCAAAAGATGTTACACCGCTGGATAGAATCACTTTGTGGTGATTTATGTCTTTGTTGATTATAGAATTGGTTCTTTTAGGGATTTTGTCATGTGACAATATCCATATGACTTTTTATTTTGCTTATGGATTTTTAATTAAGCTGTTAAACTAAAAAGTGAACTTTTAACACGAAAATATTAATGAAAAATTGATTAAAGTTGATCTAAATACAGTCAGTAAGTACATTACCAACTTGTTAGGCTGACAGTTAAACCACATGTTACACTTATGGTCCATACTTTCTAGGGTTTATGATTGTCTATTACATCTTCCTTACCATTTTTATCATTAGGTCTAAACTTGTTCTTTCTATTAACTAAGAAAATTGAAATCACATTTTCGTCTCAAATTCGGTTCTTCAACATAAAACACATGTTCAATTCGCCCTCACTTATAACGACCAACTACATTTTTTTTGTTCGTTTCGTAGTTGTCACCGAATCAACTATTTCTTGTGTGTTTCACATCGTTAGTTTCTCGACATTTCTCAACGATGACGACTACAAAATTAGAATGTTAAAGTTTTTTTTTTCAATACTACTATTATACACTAGAAGAAAAAAATTTAATTCGAATTTGATGTTTGTTTTTTTTTTTTTTTACATCTTTGGATAGACAAGGTCCGATTCATATCTAATTTCTACTATGCGGGATAACGCGACTTAGTAGAGTCGAACTCCGGTATGAATGATGGAGTCAAATAGACTTAACCACTTTAGTAAAGACACACCCCCAATTTAATTGTTAATAACCCCATGATACGAAAATGCAAAATTAAAATTTTAATCGATATACAGTATCACAAAACAAATATAACAAGTTTTGTAAATTTCAATGTTTACAAATTAGAATGAAATGCAGTTATTTAAATGTTATAATTTCAAGATTAAAACAATAGAAAAACCATATAAACAATAAAAGATCAAATTTGGCATATTGGAATATTCGGAAACTTGTAATTTCATTATCCACTTTAAGAAAACTTATCCAAACTCTCACTTTCTGACACACATACTTCTGACATTCAGAGATTTTTTTAGAAACAAAAGAATCCAAAAAACTCACAAATGGCATCACAGTTAGATTTGATCGGAGAAGACTCCATCGCCGGAATCTCGAGTAATCCTCCGGCTAATAGCCGTGTGACTTCTGTATACAGCGAAGTCCAAGCGAGTCGTATCGACCACACGCTTCCTCTTCCTTCCGTCTTTAAAACTCCCTTCAAGATCATCGATGGTCCCCCGAGCTCCGCCGCCGGACATCCAGGTCCGATTTCTATGGTTTGATCTTATTAACCGGATTCACTAAACCGGTTCAAATTTGTTTGATTTTTGATGATCGATCATGGTTTTGGATATTGTTGCAGAGGAAATTGAGAAATTGTTCCCAAATTTATTTGGACAACCATCGGCTATATTGGTTCCTAACCAATCTAATGAAGTTTCATCGGATCAAAAGCTTAAGATTGGTGTTGTGTTGTCTGGTGGTCAAGCACCTGGAGGACACAATGTTATTTGTGGAATCTTTGGTTAGACATTGTTGTTCTTTTGTGCAATTTTTATTTTATTTTTCAGGCTTTTGAAATCTTGAATTGTGATTGTATTTTTGTTGTTGGTTTGATAGATTACTTGCAAGAATATGCGAAAGGAAGTAGTCTGTTTGGTTTTCGTGGCGGTCCAGCTGGAATCATGAAGGGAAAATATATTGAGCTTACTTCTGAGTTTGTGTATCCTTATAGAAACCAGGTTTGATATGATGTGCCTTTGTCGGTTTTTGTTGGTTTATTTGTGTTCCGGTTTGGTTTCGGTTTTGGATTACCTTCATGAAAACATAGAAACTGAATGGAAATGACCATCATTCCGTTTATTTTTAGTCGGTTTATTGTGTTTTAAGTTCGGTTTGCTGTCGGTTTATCTTAATCGGTTTATTTCCTTTTCGATTCGGTTTTGGTTTTAGTTTGGTTAGGATTGGTTAAACCAGATTAGATACTCAATTTTTAAGGACAGTAGGTTTGTTGGAGTAATCAAACTTTGATAATGAATTGTTGGAAATAGAAGCTCTAGGCATTAAAGAGTTGCATTTTGTGTTTATTCTTAATGATTTTCTGTTGTGCATTTTTCACAGGGTGGATTTGATATGATATGTAGTGGAAGAGACAAGATTGAAACTCCAGAGCAGGTAAACAAGTTTTTCTCAATGTTGTTGCTTTCATCGATGCTTTTATCGGCGGACTTAGTTAGATTCAGTTTGCTACATTTTGCAGTTTCAGCAAGCTGAAGAGACTGTAACAAAGATGGATTTAGATGGTCTTGTGGTTATTGGTGGAGATGATTCCAATACTAATGCTTGTCTCCTTGCTGAACACTTCATGTATTTTTTTTAATTGTTTAAGATGAATGAGATTCACTTCTCTCTGTTTTGCGTTTTAATGATTGGTTACGCATTCCGTTTTCAGAGCTAAAAACATGAAAACTCGGGTTATTGGGTGCCCCAAGACAATCGATGGTGATTTAAAGAGCAAAGAAGTCCCCACGAGTTTCGGGTTTGATACTGCTTGCAAGGTAAGTTACTTCAAAATGTATGCATAACTTAGTTTTCTTTTCATAGAAGACCTTATCAGTGAGTTTCCTTTTTGTGATTATATTCATGCAGATATACTCAGAAATGATTGGAAATGTTATGATCGATGCACGTTCCACGGGAAAATACTATCACTGTAAGTTTATTTTCTCTTAGCAAAATGAATTTATCTTGATACAAATTTACGATATCATTTCATCTGTTGATTATCTCAATAGTCGTGCGTCTTATGGGCCGTGCTGCTTCTCATATTACACTTGAATGCGCTTTGCAAACCCATCCAAACATTACCATTATTGGAGAAGAGGTACCTTTGAGTCACTCAAGCTTCATTCGTGGTTTTCGTTTTGCTATATTTTAAATATGGTTTGAGAACTAGAAAGCACCAACATTTTTGCAGGTTTTCGAGAAGAAGCTTACGTTGAAAAATGTTACTGATTACATTGTTGATGTGATCTGTAAACGAGCAAAAAATGGTTATAACTACGGTGTCATTCTTGTTCCTGAAGGTCTAATTGATTTTATCCCTGAGGTATATGGTTACCCTCAAATCTCCACTGGTCAATTCGATTCTTGTCCCAATTTTTGTTTTCTTTGACGTCCATCTGTGATCCATTTGTAGGTCCAAGAGCTTATATCCGAACTGAATGAAGTCTTAGCAGAAGGAAACGTCGATGAAGAAGGCCAATGGAAGAAGAATCTTAAAGAAGAGACTTTAAAGATTTTTGAGTTTCTTCCTCAAACTATCCAAGAACAACTAATGCTTGAGAGAGATCCACATGGAAATGTCCAGGTCTGTTTCTTGCCTCCATCTGGTTTCAAACAGATTAAAAGGCTAAAACCTCAAGCAAACCCGAACTGAAAACCGGTTTATCTTGAATCTATATATTAATTTTCTCTTCAGGTTGCTAAAATAGAGACAGAGAAAATGTTGATTCAAATGGTTGAAACCGAGCTAGAGAAAAAGAAGGAGGAGGGTACATACAAACGCGAGTTCATGGGGAAATCACACTTCTTTGGGTAACTAATTATCCTAAAATGTATCTGTTAATTACTAATTAGCCTCAACATAATCTTATTCTGATTGTGTTTTAGGTATGAAGGAAGATGCGGGTTACCTACGAATTTCGATGCAACTTACTGCTACGCATTAGGCTATGGTGCTGGATCACTTCTCCAGAGCGAAAAGACTGGATTAATTTCATCGGTTTAGAATTTTTCTATCTTTCTCGATAATATCACAAACTGTTTCTTGATTTGATGATTATTTATATTCCCCTTTGTAATGTTTTGCAGGTTGGAAATTTGGCTGCTCCTGTTGAAGAGTGGACAGTTGGTGGTACCGCGCTGACTGCGTTGATGGATGTCGAGAGAAGACATGGTAATATTAGAGCCACAAAGATGATGATTCGATAATATTGCGAAGTCTTTGATAAGATTATATTCTTTTCCAACATTATGTTTTTATGTTGCAGGTAAATTCAAGCCTGTTATCAAGAAAGCTATGGTTGAACTTGAAGGTAAAAAAGTCTTTAGCTCAAAACAGATATTATTCTCCGGCCGCTTATCTCACTAACACTTATTGCTTCTGATAAATTTCAGGTGCACCGTTTAAGAAATTTGCATCACAGCGCGAAGAATGGGCTTTGAAGAATCGATACATTAGTCCTGGTTAGTTCACATACACACGTCTCTGCATAAAGTAGTAAATGATTTCGTTCTTTAGTGTTTTTCATGCTCCCTCTCATTCCTTCTTTTGTTGCCAGGTCCGATTCAGTTCAAGGGACCGGGATCTGATGCGAAAAATCACACCTTAATGCTCGAACTCGGGGCTCAAGCCTAAAGAGTTTTCCTACTATCAGATTCACTCACTGACTCACTACTTTCTTTGTTGTAAAAACTTTGTAGTAAGAAAGTTACTGTGAGTTAAGTGAACCAACAAGTGGTCAAATCCGTGTACTGTGGTGATACTTGAATAGATGACACGTGTGTTAATAATAAAGTTTCGCAATTTCATATACTGTACATGAAACTTTTAATTTTTCGATAATCATATACTTAGTCCATTATTGAAAATGTCTTTGTCTATAAGTCGATTGATCATTATTTATATTATTTTAACAATATGCATTAAGTGGAGTTGAATTTGGTATGGTGGTAACCTTTTGATCATATTAAACCAGGTTGGTAGTTTAAAAAATTTCGTAGTCATCTTGGTGGTTCCGACTTTTAAAATTTTAGACTTGTCGTTTTTCATACCAGAATGACACGAATTTTTTAAATATGGATACATGTCTAATTTTTATACTCAATCACATACACGGTAATATATTGTATTTTACTCCAACATTGCAAACCACATGATTTATTTATTTCGCAAAATTTTTATAATATGATTTCCCAATTTTGTGTTAATCATATCATATGTGTTTATAAAATACTTGCTTATGCTTAAGAACGCGTCGACGAACTTTTAATCAATTTTTTTGTTGCTTTCAAAAGTGTTAGATGAATAGGCAAAAAACTAGCTTGAAGGTAGAGTCGGACTCCGCACATCTTATGGTTTTGAACATTGCAGATTTTACTATCTCCCCGACCTCGGCTTTTGGAAGCACCCAAACTGAACTTACTATTCAAATTTGGAAGGTTAGCCAATATATTTTACCATATAAATGTTTTCTAATATATAAATGAACACAAATATACGATACAAAGTTCAAACCAGTGGTTGGGTCTCGGCACTAAAGATAGCAACATCTTCGCGTCAGTTGGATATTGGCTAGAAATTTTCACTTGTCTTACTGACTACGTACAGTGGGACGGTAAAATTGTAAACAAAAACATGTATGGTTGGCACACGATTATCTAGATGGGATATAGGTATTTTTCGGACAGCGCCAAAATCGCTTATATGTGAACCCTGAAATTGTTGTTAACAAAACCGATTTCTTGCCGATCTATGATTTTGTAGTACACAAAAATATGGTATACTAACTTTTAAAAATATTAAGTTAATGTTTTGAAGGAATTTAATGATATCTTATTGGGAGACTCACAAAAATGCCCCTTTTTCAATACCCCTTTTCAAAAATGCCCCCTTTGGCTGTCTATTTTTAAAAATACCCCTTTTTATGTACAAAATGACTAAATTACCCTTCTTTTAATAAAATATATCACAAATATATAAGGAAATATAACAAAATTAGGTCTACAAAATACAAAATATTTTTTGGCGGGAAAATTGATCCCGCAATTTTTCCCGCCAAAACACTTGTAAAACCTTGTAAAAAACCTTTAAAATACCTTGTAAAATTTTCCCGTAAAATTTTTCCCGCCAAAAAATTTTTTTTGCGGGAAAAGTGATTCCGCAATTTTTTTGGCGTTAAATTTTTGGCGGGAAAATTTTTCCCGCCAAAAATTTACAAGGTATTTTAAAGGTTTTTTACAAGGTATTTATAAGGTTTTACAATGTATTTTAAAATGTTTTACAACGTATTTACAAGATATTATAAGATTTTACAAGCTATTTTATAAGGTTTTTACAAGTTATAAGGTTTTACAAGTTTTTTATAAGGTTTTACAAGTTATAAATACCTTATAAAACCTAATAAGTACCTTGTAAAACCTTTTAAAATACATTGTAAAACCTTACAAAACACTTGTAAAAAACCTTTAAAATACCTTGTAAATTTTTCCCGCCAAAAAAAAAAATTGCGGAATCACTTTTCCCGCAAAAAAAATTTTTTGGCGGGAAAATTTTTTGGCGGGAAAAATTTTACGGGAAAATTTTACAAGGTATTTTAAAGGTTTTTTACATGTGTTTTGGCGGGAAAATTGCGGGATCACTTTTCCCGCCAAAAAATATTTTGTATTTTGTGGACCTAATTTTGTTTCAAATAAGGGTAAAATGGTCATTAAAAATTAAAAGAGGGCAAACTTAAAAATGGACTCTCAAAGGGGGCATTTTTGAAAAGGGGTATTGAAAAAGGGGCATTTTTAACAATTTCTCTATCTTATTTGTAATGAATTTCTTACTAGAATTTAATGTTTTAACTATTAGAAAATCTGAAAATGAACAAATGCAAACAAATTAACAAAAGAAAAAACAGAAAAGCAAATAGAATGAAAAACATAAGCAAAACATAAGTAAAACACAAGGAAAAATTCAAAAACATGATAATTATTGTTTAAAATTAAAACAAAAAGATGAATAGTTTATACGAAATTGACAAAAATAACATCTGTTGGTGTTTTTTTTTTTTTGAACAACATCTGTTGGTGTTAAAAAAAGGTATCTAGCACCTAAAATAAAGTCAATTGAGTTTCTAGCATAAGTCAATTTGACACCAAAAAGAAAATGACAATTTTACTGTTTCATTCTTTCTTTCTACAAAATAGTCAACAACTTTCATTCCAGCGACATCATTTGTTGTTCGTTTCAAATTCAGATTCAAATTCAGAATTTGAAATCTAGTGCTATTGGTTATCATATTTACAATGATCAATTAAAGTTCTATGTTATTCATGTTTAATAGATTTTCGCAAATGATTTGATTTGAAAAGATTTGAATGAAAATTAATTAGTAGTACTATGCCGTCAAAAAAAAAAATAGTAGTACTATGTTATTGTCGTATTGCTTAAACGAAGAATTCAAGTACGCCCTGGGACTTCGGTGGATTCGGGTTATTCGGTTCGGGTTGTTCGGTTTGCCTTAGATTCGGTTCTTTGAAATTTGTACCGGATTAATCCGAATTGTAATTCGGTTCGGGTTCGGTCGGTTGTCGGTTTAATCGGGTCGGTTAGTTGATGTATTTTAGCCTCCGAGAACAAATGAATATAGTGTCCAATTCGGTTAATTTAAACCGAATATGACATTTTCCAAAGGCAACACAAGCTTAACTACTACATAATGACACAAATGAAGGGAAGAACCATTACAAAACCATACATAAAGCTGTACTGGTAGCTTAAAGCTGTGTTTGTGAGTTTAAGCTACTAGTACAGACCATGAAGCTGCCAAGCTAGCATTTTATCAAAGTTTAAGCTAGCATTACATCAAAAAACAATAACAGAACCATACAAATAACAAGTTTGCTTTAGTAGTTAGCTTACCATATGCAGATTCACAAAAGCATGTTGATTCGCACCAAAAAATTGTCAAAACAGCAGCTTCAAAGTCAGTACTGTCCATTCCAAGGCTGCTTTTCTACATCAAAAGGACAAAAAACCGCAGCTTCCTACCTACCTAATAGAATCATAACAAAGACATAACATTGTAAATCAAAAACAGAATCAAATACTTAACAATGAACTACTTAGACTACAACAGAACCAGAATCATACCTGCCATACTATGAAGAATCATGTAAGAGCAACTGTTGAATTCCGAGCATCTAGACAAGAAAACAGAAACAGGAGATTAGTTATAGCCTTATACTTATCAACAGTCTTGAAAGGATAAAAAAAACTGAATCAAAGAGAATAGTTAAACTTACCAAGTGACTCAAAAAAATCAACTTCTTCTAACATTTGGGCCAAGTTTGTTACAGCATCCTCTTTTTTGTAGGAACACCTTAACCATTGTTGTGTGCATATTAAAACCTCAACCATGTAAGGAGTTAAAGAACTCCTATAAGGATCCAACACCCTTCCACTCGTACTAAATGCAGACTCTGAAGCTACAGAGGAGGCTTGAATAGCAAGAACATCTCTAGCAAATTCTGACAAGATTGAGAACTTTGGGCAATTGCGTCTCCACCAACTGAGAACATCATAAGGAAACCCCAACTTATTTTCAACTCTAGCCTCAGTTTGTTCTGTGAGATACATTTTTAACTCATTGCAACTATCATCATTACCCTTCAAGCCAACCACTTTATCAAATAATGACAGCATCCCTTCACAATCATCTTCATCATCAGATAACACAAAGTTCTCAGGCTGTGGCTGAGAATCTGGTTCTTCATTTTCTACAGGTTTGCTCAGCTTGAAACTGTAATCCTCATACATTGAACTCATGACACTTGAAACGGATGCATGGAGTTTTCTATTCTCTATGGTATCTTTACCATAGAGCTGGTCAAAGCAGAGTGAAGCAAACCTCATCTTGTTGCGAGGATCAAAGACACTAGCCACAATCACTAGAGGATTCATGTTACCTAATCCGTCCCAATACTTGTCAAACTTATCTCTCATGGCAGTAGCCATCTTTCTGGTCTCCTCTTCGGGACTGTGAGACTTAGTGATGAGACTCCTCTCAATGTCCACAATTTCATTGTAACACAAAGTGGAAGTCACTGTCTTTGATGCAGAGAAAGTGACAGTACCCTTGTAAAAGACTTTAAGAAACTTCACTAACCTTGAAACTTTATCCCAATCAGAAGAAGTTGGTGGTCCTATTCTTTTAGTCTTGGTCTTCTCCTCCTCCTCTTCCAAGAAATAAGCACAATATAGCTTATCCTCAGCTTCCATCTTCTCAAAAGCAACCCTCAGCTTCAAAGCTGAGTTCAACATCAGATATGTTGAGTTCCATCTAGTGACAACATCTAATGGCAAGTTGCCTCTACACAATTTTGCTGTCTCACACCTCAATGAAAAAGACTTCAGCCTACTAAAGTTTGACCTGACATACTTAACTGCATTCCTAACTGCAGTTACTTCTCGCTTTGCTTTCTTCAAACCATCTCCAACAATCAGATTGAGGATGTGTGCACAGCAGCGCATATGTATGAATTTACCATCCTTAACTAAAGCTTCTAATCCTCTCAGCTTAAACGCTTCCTTAAAAGTATCCAAAGCCTTGTCATTGTTCCTTGCATTATCAACTGTAATTGTGTAAACCTTCTCAATTCCCCATTCTTCTAAACAATCCAGCAACTGACCTGCTATGGTATCTCCTTTATGATCTGTGATCACCTTAAAGCTGAGAATTCTCTTCTGCAATTCCCACTCTGTATTAACCCAGTGACCTGTGATCACCATGTAGTTGAAAGAAGTAATAGGACATGTCCATATGTATGTAGTCAGCGACACCCTTTGTTTCTCAACACGAAACAAAGTCTTTAAAGCTTCCTTCTCTTCCAAATACATTGCAACTATGTCTTGACTGCATGTCTTTCTACAAAAGGTCTTGTACATAGGCAAGACATTGAAACAGAACCGCTTCCAACCCTCAGATTCTACAAATGAGAATGGCAACTCATTGACTACTACCATCTCATTAACTGATCTCCTAAACAAATGCGGATCATACTTAATCACCTTCAGATTCCCTTTGTTATCACCACTTAGAACCTTCTGATTTTCCTTATCTACCCAATCCTTGTAATATTTGCATACTTTTATGTGACCAATCATTGGACTAGTACCAACCTTTTTTGAATCACAACCAATCTCTGCTAAACAGTACTTACAGTAGCTCTTAGTAGGATCTTCTCTCTGCAGAAAATGTTCCCAAATAGGAGCTCTTTTTGCATACTTCTTCCGGGGTTTGGGTGGCTTATCACCACCAGAGGCAGGCCTTGGACGTTTCTGCCCAGTTACATCACTATGAACTTCTTCTGTCGTCTGAGGTTGAACAGGAGGTTCAGTATCTTTCTCGACGTTCACGTTCTCCTCTTCTGGCATCTACAGAATATATAAACAAAGTATAAACAAAAGAGATTCAGTCATACAATCTATAACCAATGACTTTCAAGTATAACAAAGGCCGAACCCTAAATTTCTGGATGAAAAATGGAGTCCAAAACCCTAACATTCTCACAATCGAAGATTTGAGTAACATTAGGGTTTTGAATCCCAATTAATCATCCAGATATTAGCAAGTCGACATTAGCTTATTAGCTACCAAGAAGAACGAAGAGCTGACCTCTAACACTTTCTCGGTTACGGGTTGAAGATGTAGAAGTGTAGAAGATGATGAACTGATGAAGGTAGGAAGATGAGATGATGTTTAGATCAGAGAATAAGGATGAAAACTGATGAGATTAGGGTTTAGGATTCCACTCTCTGTTTCGCATGCGGCAAAGGCGAAGAAGAAGAGAAATGAAATTAGGGTTAATGTCTTAGGATTAGGCTTATATAGGTCTGCTACGAATGGGCTTAATATTGCTAATGGGCTACATAAAACCTAATAATTCTAATGGGCTACATAAAACCGATCGGGCCGATTACCGAACCGATCCGACCCGAAAACCGACCCCCCAAATAATTGATTCCGTTCGGTTTGGTCTCCTCAATTCGGTCTGTCCCGATAACCGAAAATTTCGGGTTCCTCGGGTCGGTTTGATCGGTTCTTACCGAAGTCCCAGGGCTAACGTTTACTTTTGACTACTTGTTATTCTCCTTTGAAAATGAGGTGTTTGGCAATTAATCTGCATTTCACCAAAATTTTTAGTATTTTCTTAAAAATTTGGAATTTCGCATGTAATCTATTACTAAAATTAAAAAGTTGGTGCTAAAATAACTACTGAGTACTGATTACTGACAATATCAAATTTAATCAATTAAATCTATATATATAATGGGAGAGTTTTCTCTCCATCTAGGCTATCCACATCAGCATCCACATCAGCGTCCACCTAAGCATATATTTAATTAAAAATTATAATTTATTTAAACTATTTATTTAATACATACTTATTTGTATTTATTATTATTTATGATTAAAAAATTAAGTTGAATCCAAATGAATTAATGCTATAATTATAAAACAATAAAATATGTTATACGTAATAATATAATTTGAACTTTAGTGAAAAGTTTTTTAAAATTAATCATATTTAAAATTTTATAAACATTTCAGTTTTTAAACTAATATTAAAAATTAATATGTTGGGTATTTCTAAAATTGTATGAAAGTTGAAAGGTCAAATATTTTTCAGTTAAAAAAAAAAGATATAGTGATGAATTTTATGACATATTTAAAATCAATACATTGGGTATTTTTCATATTGTTGTGAATTCAGACTCATGCGGTAGATAAGGTGATACAACCAACTACTGTTGAAGTAGCTCACAAAATCTTGGTCAAGAACTGTAGTTAAGTAAGGTGATTCTATTTCATCATTTTGTCGATTTGTTGCACAATTTGGACCGTCGATGAGAACCCATTGCGATGAATTCTTGCATTCTCCTAAATAAGTAGATGGAGAATTAAAAAATAGATCTTAAGAAGTATGTTATGTTGACGTTTTCCATGTGCCTGAAATCAAACTTGCTAAAGTACTCTCTCAATCAAGATCAAGACGATGTTGAAGGAGCAAGACCGCGACCTCCGACCAAACTGTAAAAGTGAATGGGTAGGCGAAGAAGAGATGGTTTCTAGATTCGTCTCACTCTCTGCAAAGAAACACATGGTTGAGCAAGTCCTCAAATCCGCATATGTGTTCTCATCGATAATCAATCACGAACCGCGAGCCATGTTATGAACTCACATCTTGGAATAGTATAACCAAATCACATTGCTCTATTTCAAACCATATAGAAGAGATGCTTTTAATCGGAGAAGTGCTTTTAACATGCTCCCATGTCTTAAAACTCTAGAACTATGATGAAAATCATTAGTTCCCCAACGCTAGAGAAACCGATTTGGTCCATTGTATGTAGACAGATTTGGTGTTGATCAGAGTTGTTCTATAACCGGGATAAGATGTGGAAGACATGTCCTTCTTAATCTCCAGTCGTTTTGTCTCATAGCTTCTTTAACCGAGGCTTTAAGTGGAATTCCTATGATTCTTGGTCCGGCCTCACATGTAATGTTTATTAGTCTCCCAATAGGCAAGCAATGATCTAACTATAAAAATGTATGCTCATCACCATTGTTGACATCCATACACGTATGAATGGTTTATTGTCCTCTCAGAGTTTAAGTAGTTTCCGCCAAACCCAAGAGCCCATTGTTGAATGTGGAGCTGTATAGAATAGTTTAACGGTCATAGGATTACTAAATTGAACAATGAAATACAAAAAAAAAAAAGATGGTTAATATATGTATTATATCATAAATGGACAATATTATAATTATCACTTATAATATTTATAATATTTTTTATATAACAGTATTTTTACCAATAAAATTTTAAATATTTTTAAAATAATATTATAATAACAAAACTATTTAAAATAATGTAACGTAAATTTACAAAATTATAAAAGTTGAATATATATTGCTAAACCCACGCAACGCGTGGGTCCAATTTCTAGTGAATAATAATAGTCTAGTACTCTAGTTACGTAATCACTAATCAGATTCATATGAACCCACTTAAACCGGTTCTCCTTGAAGAGAACCGGTTGGTTTTCTCTGTGAATCACCTAAACAAGTTTCATACGGTCGGATCCTCAAAAAACCTCATAAACCCTTGAAGCTCGAGAAATTGTGTAAAACCACTCCAATGGCGGTTCTGGAAAAATTGTTTCGAGCATCGCGAGCATGGCGCGGATCACTCTCTCATTCTAAATCCATTGGTCCATCGCAACCACGGGCACGAGCGCTTCGTCGCTGTTTCTATAGCGGTATTCTATTGATTCAAGAGTTTGTAAATTATTTATAATTTGGTGATCCCATGATTCTTGGTGGGTTTCAATTGAACCCATTTGATTGTATGAATTGGTGATTGGTTTAAAAATTGGGACTTTCGAGGAATTGGTGATCAAGAAACGATACTAGTTCTGTGCCACTTCTATATCTAGTAGAATCTTTGTCTCTTAGTTAAAGTTTGGTGTTTGATATTGCAGGAACCTTTGATCAGAGCAATTCAAAAGTAAATCAAGTCTTGAGATCTTGCAGCACCATAAACGATTCTCCATACTTTTCCATAGCACCTGCAGTTTTGGGTGCTCTCTTCAGTGTTGGAGCTATAGGAGTAGCTTATGCTGAATCTGATGAGGTTTTGTTACTCAACACAAAAACAACAAAATTGAATCATTGGTGTTGTTAGTTTTACTGATTCTAGTTTAAAACTTACCTTCTTGCAGGCTACTAATGACAAGTCATCTGCCCCAATAGATCCTCCACCAAACTATGTAGACATTGCCAAGAAAGAACGAGCTCGAATTGAAGAACTGATATCAAGTAAAGGAACTCAATATGGTTCTTACCCACGGTTCAATGTTGCTGTCAGGGGTCAAAAGGTTACCACAATGATCTCTCTCATTTTTTTTTTACTCTAGTTGCGAGAACTTGGGTATATCCTGGGATATGACTTACTTCGAGTGTTTCTTGATAAATGATTTCGATGATACAAAACTTTGTTCTATGTTTTAGATTACCTTGAAGTTCCAAGTTCCTTCTACTTGCGAAGTCGCACAGTTGATATCAAACATTGGATCCCAACTAGGTGTGAAAGTCTCAGATCGCACTGGTGGTTCAGATATGCTATTGCGTGCTTGGGACAAGTAATTTCTTGCTCTACTAAATTTTCTCCAAGAACCAATATTGGAAGCCTGATGACGTATAATATAAAGTTAATCGCTACTCCTTTCTTGTTACTTCAGTCCAGTCGCTTGGCAAATAACACTTCGCAGTGTGGAAAACAAGAAGAAACTAGGAGAGAGTGAAGATGATTCAGATGATGACTTGTGCATTCTTATCTTCGGTTCCTTACTTACCTCGGATAAAGTGGTAAGTTTCAATTCTCTTTCGAATATTCACTCAATCGTCAAATGTTCTTGGTTTTTTTTTATATAACCTTAATGTGCTCCAAAATGTGTTAGGAAGTTGAGTTTATAAAGAAGGGAAGTTTGACCACTGAAGAACTTGAGGCTTTTGTTTCAGCTTTGCGAGTAGCTGGAACAAAAGCTGGACAAAATAAGGGAGGTGGAGTTAGAGGTAGCGCTCGTGAATCGTCTACCGACAAATCTATCTCTCAATTGGAGTCTATGGGAGTGAGAATCTATGGAGTTAATAAACCTCTTGGGGAGGATTCTATTGATGATATATCATGGGACAATATTGCTGGATATGATCAGCAAAAGCGGTAAGCTTTGGTTACATCTTTGCTCTTGTATCCCATTAATATGATATATGATGTATTAGCTTCTATTATGATGCAGAGAGATAGAAGATACAATATTGATGGCCCTTCATAGTCCTGAAGTGTATGATGATATAGTACGTGGTACACGGTCCAAATTTGAATCAAACAGACCTCGGGCTGTTCTATTTGAGGGTCCACCAGGTTAGCGCAAGAAGAGTTCATTTGCAATTTCGTCCATTTTTGTATAAACAAATTTGTCTGATGTCCATAAACTCTAACCTTAGGAACTGGGAAGACATCTTGTGCTCGTGTTATTGCAAATCAGGCAGTGAGTAGTAGAGAACTTGAAAAAACTTTTTCTGAACTTTCAATTTTTTTTTATAATCTTGAGCTCTAATTCTTTGCAATTGTTGCCAGGGCATACCGTTGTTGTATGTGCCGCTTGAAGCTGTAATGTCTAAGTACTATGGTGAAAGCGAGCGGCTTCTTGGGGATGTGTTTTCACAAGCAAATGAGCTCCCTGATGGTGCGATTATATTTCTTGATGAGGTGAAGAAAAGATTGCTTCTTTTATATTCTTGTTTGACTTTTCCTTTCAAAATTTGAATATGATTAAATAATTTACTTGTCTAACTCACTATCCAGATTGACGCATTTGCTATCTCTCGTGATAGTGAGATGCATGAAGCAACGCGTAGAGTTTTGTCGGTACTACTAAGGCAGGTAAGACACACAAAATTGCCAATATCACATATCCACGAGATGAGAGACTAGTTATTACCAGTCTGATGAATCTGCTTCTATGTTTTTGCAGATTGATGGATTTGAACAAGACAAAAAAGTGGTTGTGATTGCTGCAACCAATAGAAAACAAGATCTTGATCCCGCTTTGATCAGGTAAGCAAGAAAATTTCTTAAAACCAGCTCAATTCGTGGCTGTAGTATCCTGACCAGTATCCTATGTTTTTCATCTGTACATCTTAGCCGGTTCGATTCCATGATCATGTTTGACTTACCGGACTTACAAACGCGTCAAGAAATCATCGCCCAATATGCAAAGCAACTCTCAAAGCCTGAGCTAGTCCAGCTTGCTCAGGCCACAGAAGCGTAAAGTTTCTAACTTTCTGTTAACATATCATACTAAAATTCGGAATTTTTTGTTCAATCTCCTTCAAGACCACCCAATTTTTCTGTTCCCGATTAGTCATTAACGAATCCATACCGACTTTTATCCTTTCTTGCGGTTTTGATTGGTTATGCAGAATGTCAGGCAGGGATATTCGAGATGTATGTCAAGGAGCAGAACGAACATGGGCTTCAAAGGTTAAAACCAAATTTCGTCTTCAACACTTGGCTAAATGTGACACGATTGCAAATCATTAACCTTTATATATTGTTGGACAGTTGATTCGTCGAGCAAAAGCGGGTGGAGAAGAACGAAAGATCACTCTCCCTCCAATACAAGAGTACTTGGAAAGCGCTGAAGCTCGTCGCAAAGCTCTTCTTAGTGTGACGGAGCAGAAGGAACAGAAATTTGCTGCTCGTTCCAAGAAACCTCTACTAGATTTTGAGTGAAAATATTCATTTGACACACCAAACTACTTAGGGACAATAACTATACAGACAAAAAAGAAGACGGTTTCTTTTGTTTGAGGTTGTTGTAAAAATACAGTTAATTAATTTGTTAACTAGCGCCCAGTATCTATTATGCATGAAACGACGTCATATAACAAAAGTTAAATTTTGAGCTCACGAAGCAAAAGACCTTTTAGCCACTAAACAAACAACAGTATCTCGTAGTCTCTCTCGACTCTGAGAAGAGAGACTTTTTTGATCGGCGTCGTCGGATTATTTCCTTTTGTTGTCAAATTGTTGCGTCGAATTCGGTAGATGCTTTCTGCTTGATTTCGCGTTGAATCTCGTAGTTTGTGGAGTTCAGGTTTTTCAAACGGGTATGTACTTGTTATGCCTAGAACATGTTCGATGAAATGCCTAAGTGAGAATGTTTTACAGTTTCTCTCCGTTTGATGATCTTTTTTTTTAAATGAATGTTCAGGGTTCCCAAGTTTGTTTATTTTTTCAGTTCTTGAAGTGATTTGATACGGAGCAGTCATGGATGGTGAGTGAATGATTCTTGTGCAATTGTGAATTTGTTTTTGCTTCAAGAAATTGGTGATTTAGATTGGAAACTTAGGATACCGACATTGTTCGGTAGCATAATGATCACGAAATGAAATCCAGGTTTACAAACGCTTAGGCTATTTTGCGGGTGAAAACGCTGTCAAGTTGTGTTTGTTTCTATTTTTTTGTATGATGTAAAATCTCAATCTGCATCACCATCTTTGCATTTGGAAATTGAATCTTTTTTGTTTGGAAAATTGAAATTGAGGTTGCATAGTGATTACAGTTGTTGAATCCTAAGAACTTTTTTTGTCAGCTGAATGAGAACTGTAACATTGGTGATTTCAAATTTTCAGTTGATTCACAACCAATGATGGAGGAGACCATACTGGTCGGTGATGACCTAATGACGGGTCCTCCATCTCCTGTCATCCCTCCTGAAATTGCTTCACATGTGCTTGAAGGTGTTGAATTGTGTGATGGGATTTTGAGGAACCTATTCTTATGTAAGTCTTTGTTTTTCCATTATCAAGTCTATCTATCCTCGGTTTGGTTTATATTCTGAATTGATTTTTATGGTTTTAGGCTTGCAAATCAATGATATTGAACCATTTTGCCAAGATGAGCTTGCCTTGTATCGACAATGTGCTGAAAAGAGGGTAATGTTGTCTGACCATCGGCTCAGATTATATTTCTATGAAGCTTTGCATTCTCATATCCATATTCATTTCCTTGACTTTTATTTTTCTTATATCCTTTTGTAGGACAAGATATTGAGAGTAAGACTTCAAGAGAGCGAACACAAGTTAGGATTGTCTATGCCCATTGAACTCGCTAAGGAAAGGATTACTCAGCTTGAAGCTGAAGCCACATCACTAGAGAGGTAGTCTTTCTTAACTGAAAATTTCTGTAGTATAATTTCGTTTTGGATTATCTTTATTTGAAGAGTTTGTCTCTGGATTTGTGCTACCATGTAATCATGTAAATCTACAGATGTTCACAAACTGAAACTCTGTTTTTTTTAAAATCGAAATGTTCACTAAATTAGTTAATATTTCTTATAATCAGGCACTTGATTCTAGCAAGTGGAGCTGAAGGAATTGAAGGATTTCGCCGGAGATGGAGTTTGCACGGTCGGATGACGGATACCAAGTACTGTAACAAAATCTAACCTTATAGTATAAACAATATTCATAATATAGTATCATGAAATTAGTATGCTGCATGCAACTAGATGAACCCATCATAATCCTTACCAACTTGCTTTTACTTTGCTGTGTACATAAAAATCTGATTGTTAGCATTATCGAAAGTGAAGCCTATAAACCCTTTATGTGGTAAAATCTGTTTGACTTTGGTTTGTTTCTTAAGTTTTTTTTCTTGTGTGGATGTCACAGAAAAAGACTGGAGTCACTGAAGCTGGGAATGGAGAACAGGAACAAGGATGAACATGAACATAACCATAACCATGATCAGTCCCCAAAACCTTCTGCTCCAAAAAGATGGTTCTTTTGGTGAATGAATCATGTTTTGGATCATAAAAGGTTCATAAATCATAATCATTACACTTATGGTGCAGGTTCTTCCCAATGTAACCACTTTTAGCTATTAAAAGTATTAATTAAAAATTAAAAATGTTTTATCTTTTCTCGCTCACAAACGTCAAATGGAGTAATCAATTTATTTCAGTTAATAACTTCTTAATTGATATGAAGCCCATTTGAGGCCCAATATCAATGAAACGACATCGTATCGAACCTAGATTTGACCCGAAAACGTATCGTGTCTCTGACAGTATCTCGCACTCTGCAAGAGAAAACTCCGAAGATTTGTGTATTGTCTCGATCCGCCATGGAAGAGAAGAAGACAGAATCTGCGACTAAGAACGTTAAAAAGGTTAACTTGTTAGACCACAACGCTATCAAACATCTCCTCGACGAATCCGTCTCCGATGTAAGTCATCGGAAATAACAACAATCCCCACGAATATTTTTCCTCGATTTCTCCATGTTCTGTATCAAAGTTTTGTCCTTTTTTGCTGTGTAGATCGTTACGAGCAGAGGGTACAAGGAGGATGTGAGATTAAGCAACGTCAAATTTCTGTTAGGAGCGATTATAATTGTGGTTGCTCTTGTTGCTCAATTCTACAATAAGAAGTTTCCTGAGAACAGAGACTTTTTGATTTGCTGCATCGGATTATATCCTTTTTTTGGTGTCAGATTGTTTCTTCGGATTTGCTGTTTCTAAGGTTAAAGATGAGATTAACTATGAATGCATAATAGAGAAATTGCTCAATGTCTTTTATCTTTGGATATATTTTTGAAGATATGGGATCTGTTTTGTTCTTGACTCTGGCAAGTATGTGGTGTTGACTGCGGTAATGCAGCTGATTCTGTACATTAAGGAGAAGAATGCGATATTGTTCACCTATCCTCTTGAGGTTTGTTCCCTGACTATTGAAAGAATATGTTACCTTGAGAAGTCATCTTTGATAGCTTGTGTGCTTTTGGCTACATTCTTGTTTTCTTTGTAATGCACCGACTGTAGTTTCTGTGATTCGGTGCATACTTCCCGCATTCACTTCTTCATAACTAGAGTTATATCTTAATTTCTTTCTGATTTGTAAGAATTAGAATTGTGTTTTTGCTAGCTTCACATGTGTTCTAGTATTGTTTGCATTATCTTAAGTGATCTTGTTGTTTACCATTTGAGTTATAGTGGGAGCTACATTTCTCTTTCTCTCCACCCACCCTAAATCTAACTTTTTCTCTATGTATTATTTGATTCATTGAAGTCTTGATAATTCGGGCTGTGGAAGTTCTTGTATCTTTTGGTGTTTGTGATTAGTGCTGTCTTGTTTCTTGGGCCATAGTTGTTCAAGATGATTTAGGAATGTGTAGTTACTCCTCCCCTTAAATTGTATGCAAGAGGAATAGAGGATGAGATTTTACTAAACATTTGATTTGCGCTCATTGGTGACTGGTGAGGTCGTCACAAACAGGAAAGAAAAAGATCTTCATTTGTTTTGCTAAAAAGCCATTTCAATTGTGATGATAATTTGGTTACCAGATTATTCACTTTCTAATGTTCTTTGGGGTTATACATGCACATTTTCATTTCTTTTGCTACGATTCAGACATGTTTATTTGGTTGTTTAGCTCTTCATTTGCTGACTTGAAATTCGGATGGTTGATATGCAGGGATCATTCACCAGCACTGGTTTGGTGGTATCTTCCAAGTTACCTAGATTCTCTGATCAGTACACTCTCACCATCGACAGTGCTGATCCGAAATCAATCTCAGCTGGGAAGTCAGTTCAGTTCACCAAGAGTGTAACTCAATGGTCTCTCTCTCTCTCTCTCTCTCTCTCCCTCTGTCTGCATTTCTCTTTACACGCGTTCACACAATATCCTCTACATTGTGATTTGTTTTAAATGGTTCTCTTTTTTTGTATGTGTACTCAGGCTCACTAAAGATGGAGTTCTTGTTGAGGGTTTATTCTGGAAAGATGTTGATGCCCTAATCAAGGAGTACAACGAAGCAGAAGAACCAAAGAAGAAGAGATGATCATCTTTAAGAGGGAAAGTATATTCATTTTAGTTCTAAATGTTGAAAACATTTTTAGATAACTAAAATCGATGGTGACTTCTTTTCGAGACGACACAATTATTTCCCCCAACAGAAGATTCCTTGTTATAAACTTTTAACAAAATTTCCAAATCATTGCGAGATATATTATTATTTCAACGTCTCATATTCTCTTATTTGGAGATGTTGCCGTAAGCCAAACTTTGTTCGGTCTTGTCTGTCCCAATTCTGTGGTTTAGTGCGCAACCGGTATGGTCCAACCTAACCGGGCAAAAACAATTCTGTGTTTCAAAAAATCCTGTCTGACCCAAATTGGTCTGGGTCAGCCAGTAGCTTTAAACCAGAGTAACATGTATACTCTAGTTCAAGTTCAGGTCTCTCATTGTTTTAATGTCTACACAAACCGGTTAAACCATTAAACCATGACTTTATTTATTTTCTTAAAAATTCAATTTTGTAAAATAAAAATAAAGTAAAGGTCTTTATGGGGGTCGACATATGTAGATATTATAAGCTTTAAAATATAAACCATAATTTTATATATTTTCTTAGAAAATTGATTCTAAATTCAAAACTTTTTAGTGCAAAATTCTAAATTAAGTAATAAAAATAATATTTATACTAAGGTCTTTTATGGGGGTCGACATATGTAGATATTTATAAGCTTTAAATATATAAACAAACATTAAAAATAGAACAAGTTCAAAACGTCATGACACAACGAAAGTTACTAAAATTGTCAAAACCACAAGTACCAACAAATCTAAGTTTTGTATTCCTCCTTTAATTCCCATGATTCCTCACGCGCCTGCGCGTGACTTAACTCGACAACGAACACACACCAGAAACCACACACATTAGTAATAAACTTCACGCGCCTAATCAGCGCGTAAAACGTCCTCTAGCGTTCGTTTTGATGATATCTTCTTGCTTGATTCTTCTCTGATCTTTTTGTTCCTCTTTTCTCGTCTCTCTGAAAATCGTTTTCCGTTCTTCGCATCGGAGAATAAAAAAGAATGTCTTCGAAAGACAAGAAACCAGCGAGACCATCGACTAGTCGTGGTGGAATCCGAACTCTTTCCGATCTTAATCGTAGGTCTGGTCCAGATTCCGACAGTGATTCCGATGGACCTCAAGAATACTACACCGGCGGTGAAAAAAGGTCAGTCTAGTTGAGAAAAGTTCTTTTAGATTTTTGATGCTAATGGTTGTTATTAAAGAAGTGAGAGGATCGTGTTTAGTTATAATTGGATCTAGAGTTATCTAATTAGCTAATGATTATTATTAATTAGAGGTTTTTTTTTTAATCATTAATTGTTTTTTTTAACTGTTCAAATTGGTGATATATCACTGTGGATTGAGTTTTAACCTAGCTAAGTATGCCAATTTAGGGTTATGTTTATGTTGAAACTGTATAATAATGTTTTATTGTTGTTGTTGTTGTAGTGGTATGCTTGTTCAAGATCCATCGAAAAAAGATGATGTTGATGAGATATTTAATCAAGCTAGACAATTAGGAGCTGTGGAAGGACCTCTTGAGCCTCCTTCGAGTTCGAGGAGTTTCACTGGAACTGGGAGATCGCTTTCTGGTGAAAATATGTCTACTGGTCTTCAACAGCCTGAGCCTGTAGTTCACAACATTGTTTTCTGGTCTAATGGATTCACTATAGATGATGGTCCTTTGAGGAAATTGGATGATCCTGAGAATGCATCGTTTCTCGAGGTGAATAGTACGAATGACTTTCATTTGAAGCTGTTTCAATCTTCTGTTTTGAGTTATTGATTTTGTTTGTGTTTTTGTAGAGCATTCGAAAGTCTGAGTGCCCGAAAGAGCTTGAGCCTGCGGATAAAAGAGCCCCGGTTCATGTCAATCTGATGCGAAGGGAAGAGAAATGTCCTGTGAGTCCCTCTCTGCTCTATCCATATTGTATATCTTTTTCCTGATCAGCTTTTATATGTTTTGCACCACTAACATAATGTAGTGTCTTAATTGATATGCGATTAGTGGTCTTGTTTAATCGACTTACCGGTCTTGTTTCTTGTTATAGGAAAGACAGAAGCGTAGGGTTTCATTTCAAGGTGTTGGAAGAACTCTAGGTGGTAGCAATGACGGCAGCGGAAGTAGCTCACCTGTGGCTCCAGACTCCGCTGCCATTCCCATCCAAACCAACCAAACCGTACCAGCCCCACCTCCAAGTCTTGTAATAGATGAAACTATTCCAATCACATCGATACAGCTTAGATTAGCGGATGGGACACGTCTGGTGGGTAAGTTCAATCACCATCACACGGTCAACGACATTCGCGGTTTTATTGACTCCTCTCGACCTGGAGCTCCGGTGAACTACCAGCTGCAGACAATGGGATTCCCACCTAAGCCTTTGACTGATCTCACTCAGACCATTGAAGAAGCTGGTCTCGCCAACTCTGTTGTTCTTCAGAAATTCTAGAAAATTCGACAAGGTTTGTTCTTTTTTGTCTTTCTATATGTATTATTATGAGATCTTCATAACTGTTATAGTAACCAGATCTTTGAAATGTAAGTTACTTCTTCGCTTTGTATACGCAGCATAAATGAGGGTCTCTCATATGAGAAGAAAAGACTTGTGGTATAGTTTTTCGTAATTTATCGAAATTATATAATGAACAACTGTTATATATTAGTTTGGTAAGAGTCTAATCAAGTGTTATCATATGTATGTATATCATTGTTCCTCGGAAGAGTATTAATAAAGAGTGTTATAAGCTTATTGAGAACACGGGTAGAATTTCATTTATTACAAAATTTATATATTATATAGTTATAGAATAAAATCATGATATATTATAATAGTAAGTAAAAAAAATATTAATTTTTTTATGTCAGTCCATATATATAATATTAGAATGAATATATTTTTTATTTTTCTGTAATCCTCAATTATGGATATATTTTTAAAGATATGAAAACGGAAAATATTATTATTTTCAAAAAAAATAATATTGTTTGAACAATGAGTTAATTTATGTTAACAACCACAAAATAAGAGTGCATATAATTTAGTTAGATCAAAAATCAAAATATCATAAATGAATCCAATCTAAAACGTAGATTATTTTGAATTAGTTAAAAAGTTAGCTATTATTTTGAATTAATTTAGGAAATTATTTTTTCAAATTCTAATTCATTGGTTGTTGAAATAGAGATTTGTTTGAGGTAATTACGGAATTTACCAATTATTCACATAATCAAATATGTTATGAACATATATTTGGTATATAATAATACCAAATTCGATCCGTGTGTGGAGTCTATATTTTCATTTTACGATCCCTATGAAAATATTGTGGCACAATCTATTATTCATTATTTTCAAAATTGCTTGCAGAATTAAATTTTCAAATATTTAGAAGTGTCAAACCTTATTTAACTCATCTCATCATAAAATCTTAAAATGTCGTCTATTATAAGGATCATAACTTTCTATCATATAATACATTACTTTTAACCCGCCGCCTACTATAAATATATTAAACATATCTTTTTAGAAAATCAAATTAGTATTTATAATTTTTTTATCTTTTTAATCTATTAAATATTTATGATATTCTTTAATATATTAAATTAAACTTTTTAAAAATGTTCCAAATTAAAATCTTTAAAATTTTTATTGTAGTATGTAAAATTATGAATTTTAAAAAATATATATATGAAATTAAATATAAATATTCAAATAGTTATAAGGATCATAACTCATTTCATCATATAATACATTATATTTAACCCGCCGCCTATTATAAATATTTGTTTCAAAAAATCAAATTAGGGTATTTATATTTCTTAACTTTTTGATCTATTAAGTATTGATGATATTAAAAAAAAAAAATATTACTCAAATATGAATTTTTGACCCGTTAAATTTGTTCTTTCATACATTGAACAATTTATATTCGTTTTTAAAAATTCAAATCTTTGTATATGCGGAAAAAATTTACTTTTTTTTATTATGTAGATGATATAATAATTTATTTATTTTATAGAAATAGAATAATATAAAGATGAAAGGTGAAGTATAATGATTAATAACAAATTAATGTGATAAGTTAGATATCAAATCTTATATGTTCATTTATTGGTCATTCTTTTTTAAAAAATTAATAATAGATTTTCGTTTTTATAATTAAATTAAATTAATTAAATTGCATAAAATAGTATTTGACTTGTTTATCCTTAATGAGTTGAATTAATTTACTCTATAAAATTTTATTTCTAATGGCATTCTTAAGTAATTTCTTACAAAATGGAAGGTTAGTTAAGGGTATCTTATAAAGTGTACTCCCCAAATAATAGTATAGGATTGAAATCTATATGACTAGTTTTGGTAAAATTACAACATATATAAGTTTATTGAAAATTTGAAACTTATGTTTGTGAAAGGAAGAACTAGAACTTTTTCATACTATTTTCGATAACTTTACTTTTTACAACGACGTTATGTTCAAAAAAACACTTTCAAATTTATTAAAATTAATTTTGTTAAAATATTTTAATAAGAAATTTAAGCATTGAATAACACCGAAATTACAAAGTAATTAAGATACATAAACAAATATGGAGTCAATGGTTTCAACTTTCAAGTCAGCATGATGAAATTTCAACAATTTATTCGTGAATGCAGAGATGCAGACATATCGTTATTTCTATATGACTAATTTTGTAAAAGGACAACATTTAACTTTTTTGAAATTTATGTTTGTTGAAATGAAGAACGAGCATTCTTTCAAGTTTCAACTACTTTTAACAAGTTTTTCTTTTACAATAACGCTAGGTTTAAAATAACAAGGTTTCTAAATCATTGTATTTTTATTGTTCGAAAAACTACTCTTTCAAATTTACTAAACTCTAATATAAAATTAAATATTAGCTAAAACAGTTTAAAAATTAAAATGATACCGATTTTAACTAGTATAGTATTAAATACCTCCGGACTTGTAAAGTAGTTGAAATACATAAACAAATGTGGAGTCAATGGTTTCAAGTCAACAATGATGAAATTTCAACAATTTACTTGAACCCTACAAAAGTGAGAGACCCTACAAGAGTTAACTTTGTTGATTAATTCGGATTTTGGTCGTTAACCAATCACTTGGATGACAAGAAGAACATCAAGTGGCAAAAGGCAAAAAGCTCTAAGAAAAAAAATGTTGAAGCCATGTCTTCTCTCCTGCTTCCTCTTCTTCTTCTTCTTCTTCTTCTTCTTCATACCAAAACTATCTTTCTCTTGTCCACAAGATCAAAGACAATCCCTTCTCGAGTTCAAGAACTTGCTGATTCACATCAAGGACAACTCCACAGCCTTCAAAGGTTTAGGGACATGGAGGCCAAACTCAGATTGCTGCAAATGGCTACGCGTGAGATGTAACGCTAGTTCGCCTTCCAAAGAAGTGATAGACCTGAATCTAAGCTATCTAATCCTCTCTGGCTCAGTTAGTTCAAGCATTTTGAGACCGGTTCTGCGTATAAACTCTCTCGTTTCGCTTGATGTCTCGTTTAATTCCATACAAGGAGAGATTCCTAGAGATGCGTTTGTGAACTTGACCAGGATGATCTCTCTTAACATGACTTTTAATCTCTTTAACGGCTCTATCCCTCCTGAATTGTTTACTTTGAAGACTCTTCAGTATCTTGACTTAAGCGTGAGTAAGTTAGGAGGAGAGCTTCCTGGAGAAGCGTTTGTGAACTTGACGAGGTTGATCTCTCTTAACATGAGTTATAATTACTTGAACGGCTCTATCCCTTCTACATTGTTATCTTTGAAGACTCTTCAGCATCTCGACTTAAGCGTGAATTATTTTGGAGGAGAGATTCCTGGAGATGCGTTTGTGAACTTGACCAGCTTGATCTCTCTTGGCATGAGTTATAATAGCTTTAACGGCTCAATTCCTCCTACATTGTTCCCTTTGAAGACTCTTCAGCATCTCGACTTAGGAATGAATAATTTTGGAGGAGAGATTCCTGGAGATGCGTTTGTGAACTTGACCAACTTGGTCTTTCTTGACATGAGTTATAATAACTTTAACGGCTCAATTCCTCATGAATTGTTCTCCTTGAAGAATCTCCAGCGTCTTGACTTAAGCATGAATGTTATTGGCGGTACGTTGAGTGGTGACATCAAAGAGCTCAAGAATCTGCAGGAACTGATCTTAGATAAGAATCTCCTTGTAGGAGAGATTCCTCCAGAAATAGGTAAACTAGAAAATAAATTCTCAAATATTAAACTTTATATTCATGTGTGTGTTAAAATGTTCCTACTTTTTAAAATGTTGCAAGGTTGTCTTGTCGAATTACGGACGCTGACATTGAGGCATAACATGTTCAATGGTTCTATACCGTCGTCTGTATCAAGGTTAACGAAGCTCAAAATGTTTGATCTTCAGAACAATTCCTTGTCTTCTAAGATTCCAGACGATATTGGAAACTTAGTCAATCTATCAACTCTGTCTTTGAGCATGAACAAGTTGTCGGGTGGTATTCCATCGTCGATTCATAATCTGAAAAATCTTGAAACCCTTCAGCTTGAGAATAACAATGGCTTCTCAGGTGAGATTCCCACAGGGTTGTTTGGTCTTCAGAAGTTGAAGATACTGCGGCTTGAAGGAAACAAACTCCAATGGAACAACAATGGTTATGTCTTTCCACAGTTTAAGTTAACTGATCTGTCACTTAGATCTTGTGGCTTAGAAGGGAATATTCCGGATTGGCTCAAGAATCAAACAACTCTTGTTTACTTGGATTTGAGCATTAACAGACTCGAAGGAAGTTTCCCAAAATGGCTAGCTGATCTGAAAGTCGGAATCATGATTTTGTCTGACAACAGACTCGCAGGCTCACTGCCTCCAACTTTGTTTCAGAGTTCGAGCTTAGACTATCTTGTACTATCAAGGAACAACTTTTCTGGTGAGATCCCTGATACGATTGGCGAATCACTGGTCATGGTACTCATGCTGTCTGAAAACAACTTCTCAGGATCAGTACCAAAGTCTATTACAAAGATCCCCTTTCTCCTGTTGTTGGACTTGTCAAAGAATAGATTATCAGGTGAATTCCCGAGGTTCCTCCCCGAGTCATACCTTGTGTGGCTCGATATATCTTCCAACGATTTCTCTGGGGATGTTCCAGCTTACTTTGGGGTATACACCAGTATGCTTTTAATGAGTCAGAACAATTTCAGCGGGGACTTTCCTCAGATCTTCAGAAATCTCTCTAGTCTGATCCGTCTTGATCTCCATAACAACAAAATCTCTGGAGAATTCGCGAGTTTAACCGACCGGTTATCTTCTTCTCTAGAGGTTCTTAGCCTGAGAAACAATTCCCTCAAAGGTTCAATCCCAGAAGGCATATCAAAGCTCACAAGCCTTAAGGTCTTGGATCTCTCCGAGAACAATCTTGATGGATATCTCCCTTCATCTCTTGGGAATCTTACATGCATGATAAAATCTCCTGAGAGCTCATCTTCAGCTACGCTACCCATAACCACCGGCAAGCATGACATAGAAAGATTAATCGACATCAAATCACAAGATTTATTTAGTCTTGTAGTGAACTGGAAGAATTCAAAACAAGTTCTTTTCGACAGAAACTTCTACCTCTACACTCTCTTAGATCTCTCCAAGAACAAGCTACACGGAGAAATCCCAACTTCTTTAGGCAATCTCAAAAGCCTAAAGGTTTTAAACCTTTCCAACAACGAGTTCTCTAGATTGATCCCACAAAGTTTTGGAGATCTTGAGAGGGTAGAGAGCTTAGACCTTTCACACAACAACCTCACAGGCGAAATCCCGAAAACGTTATCCAAGCTAAGCGAGCTGAATACTTTGGATTTGAGTAACAACAAGCTTACAGGTAGAATCCCTGAAAGTCCTCAACTAGACAGATTGAACAATCCAAACATTTACGCGAACAACAGCGGAATCTGTGGAATGCAAATCCAAGTACCATGCTCTCCTACACAGACCAAGCAGCCAGCTGAGGAAAAAGAAGAAGAAGACAAAGAAGAGGAAACAATGTTTTCATGGAAAGCTGCAATCATAGGTTGTTCTTGTGGATTCCTTATAGCAGTTGTATTCATGTCATACAATGGTATATGGAAGTAACAATCCCAAAATGTACTCATAAAATAATTTTAAATAAAATTTTCTTCTAAATGAAAATTTATTTATGATGACTGCAAAAATAACATGTTGTGTTTTAGATAAAAGGAACATATCATCACTCTCTAACAGAACCAGAGCAATCGAAACGGAGCAAACACAAGGCAAAATCTACCAGGAAACTACTAGTATTCCGTCTTAACGAAGATGAAGACTAAAGTAAGTAGTAACAAGGGAGACGCGAAAAAAAAAAAAAAAAAAAAAAAAAAAAAAAAAAAAAAAAAAAAAAAAAAAAACAAGGGAGACGAGAGCCATGAAGCTGAAACACTTACGACATGAATCTGCTACAAGGCGGAGTACAACACCACCGTGAAATCCACCCTAAATCATCACCCACCAACGACGGTGAGCGCTACTAACACAAGAGACGCCATGGGCCTCTCACAAAATATTAAAACCAGGCTGGGCATATAACCCGAAACCCGAAAACCGATCCGATTTCGAACCGAACCGAATAGTTACAAAACCTGAATGGATATTGAATTTTTCTACCCGAATTACCTGAAACGAATCCGATCCGAACCAAAAACCGAATGGATATATGCTAACCCGAAATAAAAGTATACGTCCAAAAATATCATTTATATTTAGTTATAATTTTATAACCAAAAATAACTAAATAACAAAAATCTCCAAAATAACCTAGATATCCAAAAAAATTAGTTATAGATGTTACAATTATAAATAAATTTGCAAAATTTAATCACAATTTTAGAAAACTTAACTAATTTTTTTATTAAAATTATACAATCAGGACGGTAATACCATCCGAACGGAAAATAAACTCCTCCATCCGAATTATCTGAATCCAAAAAAATTCGAATTGAATCTTATCCGGAATCCGAATGTCCAGACCTAATTAAAACGTAATCTAACAAGAATAACATGTTGATATTAAATTAAATTATTCTAAATTATTTGTTAAATCTAAATTAAATTGATATATTATTTTTTTGACAGCAAATTAAATTAATATTTTATACATGGTATATAGGAATGTTCTCACTGGTAATTCATAATTCGTTACCAACAACATTATTTGTTGGAGTTGCTAAGCAAATTACTTATCTAACACATTTGTAGATTTCCAGGAATACTTTTTGAGCACTAATTAGTTTCGGATGACAAAAAAAACACATTTTTAGATTGCATATTTCACATTTATTAATATAAAAATAAATTTTTAGGCTATTGAAATTTTGGAATAAAGACAAAAAAAAATACAATTTGATTTCTTTCCATAAATTGTGTGTTTTTTTCAACAAAAAAAAACTTGTAATAATTGGCTCATATTAAAAGTTTGACTGTTTGAGCCTATAAAAAAATAAAAAAAATGACAGAGGAAAAAACTTGTAATCTCCGTTCTGTACAGTGAAACTTCATCGAATCTAGGGTTCTAGATTTATCTCTTCGTTCTTCTGGGATTTGTTCTTCTTCTTCTTCTTCTTCCCATCGATCTCGAGCTTCCGATCTTCAAAAAAAAATCAATCTTGGTACATTTCGAGTAACAGAAACGAAAACGAGAGAAATCAAACAAAACCCAGCTTAATCGAGCTAATCAGTCGGTGGAAAAAAAAAAACCCTAAATTTCATGGCGAAAACTCGACCTGGTGTCGCTTCTTCGGCGAAGAGCAAGCTGAGCAAGAAAGATATCGACTCGTACACTATCAAAGGCACCACCAAAATTGTTAGAGGTGAGTTCTATGTGAATTCTCTGTAAAACTATTCACTATTTTGATTGCTTCTTTTGGGTTATTGAGTTGCGATTAGATTTCCATAAACTCATTTCAATCTGAAACGGAAAAAAAATCTGTTCTTTTATATTAACTTATCTTCTTTTGGATGCTTGACGTTGATTCAATGAAGTTGTGTTATGTCATTGCTTAATAAATACTTGTATGCAAAATGTAATCTTTGGTAGATTTCGTTTGTTGGAGTTATGAAGAGACAACTTTACTTGGAAATGTGATTGTTGAGGTGGTTTTTTTTTCAGTGGGTGATTGTGTGTTAATGCGTCCATCGGATGCTGGTAAGGCTCCTTACGTGGCGCGTGTTGAGAAGATTGAAGCTGATGCAAGGAACAATGTGAAGGTGCATTGTCGATGGTATTACCGTCCTGAAGAATCACTTGGGGGAAGGAGACAGTTCCATGGAGCTAAAGAGCTCTTCTTGTCTGATCACTACGATATGCAAAGTGCACACACCATTGAAGGGAAATGTATCGTTCACACCTTTAAAAACTACACGAGGCTTGAGAATGTTGGAGTGGAAGATTATTATTGTAGATTCGAGTATAAGGCTGCTACTGGCGCATTTACTCCTGATCGAGTTGCTGTGTGAGTGGATATAGTAATGGAACATACCTTTTTTTCTCCTGTAGTTACCATGAGTTTTGATTTATCCTTTTTGGATTTACTTGGCTCTACAGGTACTGCAAATGTGAAATGCCGTATAACCCAGATGATCTGATGGTGCAATGTGAAGGGTGCAAGGACTGGTAAATGCCAATTTTCATCATTCTATTTTCACCTCCTTTTTATTTCAAGTATTATTCCTCAACTAGTAAGATATCTAATGCTGAATGCTGATGGTTATAGACTTTTAGAAATTTGTTATTCCTAATCCGGAACAACTTGCTTGAGTAAATTTCAGATATAAATGATCTCTGGTACAGAAAAATTCAGATCTCTGCATCGTTCGTCTAGGCAAAAAGCCCATAGATTTTTTGGGGGAGTTTGTTAGGAAAGCATTGATGTTGCATCATTTGCTTATAGTTATCGCATCGGAAAATATTGGGTGCTCTCTGTTTGAGCTCCTTATGATGGTAGACTAATCGAAATAGTTATTGCGTAATATGTTCTTTTTATTAAATTGTAGGAGTTACTACTATGTCATTGTAGGTATCACCCAGCGTGTGTAGGCATGACGATTGAAGAAGCCAAGAAGCTGGAACACTTTGTATGTGTTGAATGCAGCTCTGAAGAAGATGGAGCCAAAAGATCTCAGAATGGATTTGCTTCATCGCCAACCAATGATCTTAAGGTAAATATTGTCTTTGTTCTTTCCTTTTCACATGTCTTATCAATGCTTCTATTACTTTGATAGCAATAACCTTTGCCACCATCCATAGTCCATACCTTGTTAGTGACTCTTTTTTTGGGGTCTTAGTAAAGTCATGAAACCAAAATTTTCCATTGGCTTGATGTTTCTGTCTGCTCAAGCGAATTGCGAAATCATGACTCAGACATTGTTGATCCACATCTCTTCTCCGGATCAAATCCATGTGTTCTTTTTTTACTTTTTACTGTTTTGCCTGTAACAACTTGTTCTGGTGCTAACAAACAACTTGTGTTCAGGTGGAAGCCAAGCGCCGGAAAAGATGATGGCGGGTAAGAGCCTCTTACGAGTGCTTGAAGCTCTTTGGGTGCAGATTTAAGTTAAATAGGGTTTTGTCTTGTCCGTCATTTGATGTTGTGAAAAAGAGAGAAAGAAGAACCACAGAATGTGCAAAGAGCTGTATAGCCGAAAATTTCGTTGGAATAATAACGTATAAAAGTTTCAAGGCCACTGAGAGATTGTTTTACTGTGGATTGGTTGTTTCTGAAAACCACTCCTCAGAGTCTGATGATAACCAGGTCGTTTTGTCATATACAAATACGGGATTGTGATAACCAGGCTGGTTTTCTGGTGATAAAGTGATAAACCGTATCTAAACCGAAATCAGAGTTGGAATACAGACTTATTGCTGAAAATTTCACATTTAGATTAAGAAAGTACTTAATTATTGAGTAATTTTATTCGTTGGATTTAGCAACCTACTTGATTAATTTCATTTTTAACGTTTGATTCATATAAAGTCGAGTGAAGTGAAGCGATAGGTAAAGTAAGAACCGACGCCGTTTTTAGTGTCTGTGTCTTTACGCTAGCCGTTGAAAAGAGAAGACAAGTCTCGATTTTTCCGATAGTTGAACGAACGGTCAGATTTTAAGGTTCCTGTCTTGTCTGATGCGAATCTTTTTCTTTCCCTTTTCTGCCGATTAGATTTTTTCAGGTTTTCGTGACAAAATTTTAACCGTGATGATCATAATAATGGAACAGATATGAGCAAGAAAAATCTAGCGATTCTGCTGCGTGCTAGAATGAAATCCAACAATCCCTCCAAATTTTCCCTCTCTCAATTTCCTGTAAGTCTTTTCTTTTTCTCCTTCTTTCTTCTTTGTTTGAATTCTTAGGATAATATTGTGATTATATGCCCAAATTCACCTAATTTGTAATCATGGGCAATGAAAATTTTACATCTTTTTGATGATCCATAGCTTTAATCAGAGCTTCAGTGAGAAGAGGAGGTTTTTGCTTATGGAGCTTGGTTGTTTTTTAAGAAGATATGAATATAATAAGGCCAGTTTGGTTCTAAAATAATGGTTGTTGACTTTGTTGTCAGAAGGAGATTCAATCTAATCCTCAAGAGAATCATTCTAGTGATCACATTGTGCAGAATTCCAATGAAGGAATTGGGAATTCTAGTGCTTTTGGTACCAAAGAAAGGTAATTTCTCATTGTAGATATTGATTTAGCACTTTTGATCTTTGAAGTAGTGAGTTTGGTTTTTGTTTTTGGCTATCTTTATATTGTGTTAGGGTGTATGATGTAGTTCGAGAAACAATGCACTCAGCTATTTCGGCGAATAAAACTGGTGTATTGGACATTACTCTTAGTGATTTTCAAGAGGTAAAACTATCTCCTTCTTGATTACTTTCTTCTATGTGTTTAAACTTTCAATTTGATTACTTATGGTCAGCATGCTTATAGGGTTACTTTAGCCTTTCGCTTGAAGATCGTGGGAAATTACTTCTTGTATTAGCCAAAGAATATGATGTAAACCGAGAGCAAGTCCGAGAACTTGTTAAGCAATATCTTGGACTTGAAAATCCAGCTAGTGAGTCTTTTTTTTGTTTAGTTGCTTTTTTTGTGCTATTCTTCGATAAATTCTCCATTGATGAGCGATCACTCTTTAGGTGATGATAAGGATGCTTTATCTTCTGTTTTCTATCGCACTGAGCAGAATTTGAGACATGCTCTTAGGCCAACATATGAAGTTCTATTTGAGAGGTTGAATACCCATCCAGGAGGGTTGAGATTTTTGTCCATCCTTCGTGCTGATCTTCTTTCGATACTCACGTAATGGTTCCCATCTTCTTGTTATGTGACTGGAAACTTAAATAGTTGAAGATAGTCTTGATACAGTTGGTAAAAACGTTCCTGTTGAATCTGACACTGATGGTTGTTTCTAATGTATAGAAAAGAGAACACGCCGTCTCTGCGAACACTAGATTCCTGTTTAAAGGAGAAACTCGGTATGTGGCTTAGTCCTGCCACTTTAGAGCTTCATCAAATTACTTGGGATGATCCTGCTTCATTGCTTGAGAAAATTGTCGCATACGAGGTATGCATTTGTAGTTTCCATTATAGCAATCTCAGCTATTCAAGATGGTTAAAAGTTTTATCTAATAACGCGTTATTTATAAGGCGGTGCATCCTATCAGCAACCTCTTGGATCTTAAAAGAAGATTAGGAATAGGCCGTCGATGCTTTGGATATTTTCATCCATCTATTCCTGGTTAGTTAGTTTCTCTGGACTCATGTTTCTTTGATTGTAAGTTGACCACTTGCTTGATCGTCTTGTGCCGTTACTTTCAGGTGAACCACTTATTTTTATCGAAGTTGCTCTTATGGAAACCGTTGCACAGACTATTCAGGTCAAACTAATCTTGATCCTATGCCATATAGCTTAGATTCTGTAGCTATAAGTCTAAAATTTTCATTGTCGTTGCAGGAAGTTTTGTGGGACAATCCTCCCATACCAGAGAACCAAGCAACATGCGCTTTATTTTACTCGATTTCTTCAACTCAGGTATGTGCACACTCTTTTCATATCTGTAGATCTCGCATTAGTTCTAGTTGATTCAAATCATCTAATTTCGATTTATTTCATGGTGCGGATTAAATTTATGGCTCTCTGACTCCTGTCTTATGTATTTGCAGCCTGGCTTAGCTGGGATAAACCTCGGGAAATTTCTGATCAAACGAGTGATTACATTGGTGAAAAAAGACATGCCACATGTTTCTGTGAGTACTTCGACTAAATTGTATGCAAATTTTGTTACTGGTAAAAATGTTTTATCTGCTTGCTGAACAAAATTATGCTTTTGTTTCAGACATTTGCAACACTTAGCCCCATTCCTGGATTCATGCAATGGCTCCTCTCAAAATTATCGTCTCAGTCAAGATTTGCTGAAGATGAGCGTGGTACACAGAGCAATTCACCATCATCTACTTTTAGTGAGAAAGTATTACTACCAGAAGAGGAACAAGCCCTCATGAGTCTATCAGAGTAAGAATTCTTCATGTATGTTCTTATTAGTTATATAGAAAATCAAGCTCAAGGCATCAACTCAGTGATCTTTTTATGCAGTGATTCTTCATCTGGTAGCAACGGCATGGAAGTTTTATTGAAATTGCTATCAGTAAAGAACTGCGATTGGGCTACTTCGCCTCGCCTATTGCCAGTTTTAGAACCTATTCTTATGCGGTTATGTGCTAGGTATGTTCATTCTTGGAGATGTAATGGTTAAATATGAATCATATAGGCACACATAACCTCCTATTTGTTTTTCTTGATTTTGATAGGTACCTCTTGCAAGAGAAGAAAAGAGGAAAAGCTTTAGACTCTGTTGCTAACTTCCACTTGCAAAATGGAGCGGTAAGTCCAGTGAATGTGATAGGGTTTAGTAAACAGAGTGATTGAGATTGATAAGCTTTCATGTTTTGATATGTTACATAGATGGTTGAAAGAATAAATTGGATGGCGGATCGATCAGAGAAAGGTATTCATCAAAGTGGAGGAATCATGGTTAACTATGTCTATAGGTAAAGTAATCTCTGGATTCTAAGTGACTCTGCTTCAAAGCTTTCATTTTTGTTGGTCATAAATCCGTCGTATTTGATTAATGACAGGTTAGAGAATATCGAAGACTATGCTCAATCGTATTTTGGGTCAGGCAAAATTCATGCCTCGCCTGGTATCCATTCCCGTCTCTAAGTAACTCCGCAAATCAAATTGAGTTTGATCGATGATTCTTGATTTTGTCATTCTCAAAAGGAAAGGGTTTTAGAATTAAGATATCAAAGCCTGAGATTAACGCAAGCACAATGTTATGTGTATGTACAAACGGTCTTATGTGTGTATACTCTCGAGACTATATGTGAATGTGATTCAAAGAGATATTAGGTTTCACTTATCGGAATCGGTTTCGACATGGCTAGTCTCCAAGACGTATTCACGCATGAGTCTTGTGTTGGATCCATCTACGTTCTGCATTTTCACAAACACAAGATGCTTATGTGACATACTTACACTCGTATATGTGTATAGAGATAAGGAGAGAGAGAGAGAGAAGAGAGAACCTTGAAGGCGAGGCGCTTCAAATTATCCCATTCGAAATCGTTTTTACAATAAGCAGACCGTACCTGGTTTCGGTAACAAAAGGTTTCAAACCGTAAATACAAACGTAGAGTGGAAAAATGATATTGAAGTTTTTTTGAAAGTGTATTAAAGGAGAAAAGGAAAGCTTGGCTTACCTCTAAAATTCGAAGGGCTTGTTGCATTGGTCATGATACCAAAAATAAAGTTTTTAGTTTGGTTATCTCATATCAAATATACTTATACATTTGATCTATAAGCTGGTACGTCAAATAAATAGCAGAGTAACTAAGTAATTGTTAGAGGAACGAACTGAAATACATAAAAATTTCGGAAAAACTTGTTTTAGTAGATAAGTCACTTTTTTTTTTCTAGTCAAATTTTTAACACGCTAGTGGTATATAGCGGAATCATTTTTTTAAAATGTGAAAACGTGAAAACTTGATGAATGTTTTGAATGGTAAAAGATAGCGGAATCACGATTTCAAAACGTAAAAACGTGAACAAATGGTATACCATTGGTATCCGCAAAATGGTGGAATTGTGTTTAATTAGGCACACTTTCCAATTTTAAAGAAGTTAATACTTTATAAACATTGCACAAATATGTTGTTATTTGGCAAAAAGTTTCACTGCACGAAAAGAATGTTTGGAGAAAGCAAAGAGATTCCGTCTAAATCACTCTATAGGAAGAAAACAATTTTTTTTAAAAAGTATGATGCATAACTTAAAGAAACTTAAAATTCACTAGAGTTTATAAATTTTGGTAAACTTCATGAATGTGAACCTTTGAATTAAAATTCCAACTTATATTCTATCAAGTTTCACAAAACACCTCATACTAGAATATTATTAGCAACTGCCATTTATTTATATTAAAGTGTTTTTTTTTTTGTACCTAAGTTCATGTGACGTGAAGACCTACGCATGAGAGTGGCGCAAAATTTGTCGCCGTCACTTACAGAGTTTGTGTCTAAAAATTCTCTCAACTCCATATACGCCTCAGGGTTATAACTCTGTCATTAATTTAACATAAATTAGAATTATTATAATCTAAACACCTAAATTAATTAAATAAATATATAAATCATCAAATCGACCTCAAGCTGCGCAGAAACTATCCTCACTGCAACGTAAGTAAAAAAGTCATGCAGATGCTTCGCTGCCTTAGCCTCCGGCGAAGCTTCTCCAAAGCCTAATTCAATTATACAAAAATAGACAATAATCTATATAGAACAATTGTGTAGAAATCAAAACAACATTTTGTGATTAATATGTCATATATTATTACATACCGGGAACATACATCTTGTTAGAACAAATGCGAGTTTGTTTACATTTTCGCAAATTCCTCATTAATGGAAAAGAAAGCAAAGGTCTTTTTCCAAATTTTGGATTAAGGTAAGAGAGGTAAGAGTGATGGAGAATGAGTGAAGAAGATGACTCCATAGAAATATTAGATGAAGAAAATTTGCAGGAGAGACATATTGTTTTACGATTTGGTCGTATATAAGAGAATGTATTAGATTCACACATTAAAATATCTAGGATGTGGACAAATAAATATCTTCTAGTTGGAAGTATAGAGACAAAACATGTCTTATTTGTTTCAATATCTGGTCCAAATATATCAATTGGATTTTTATCAAAAAAAAATTTTTTAATAAAACAATTTATCACGAAATAATAATTATGTTTTGTTTCTTTTGTCAATACCAGTTTTTTTTTTTTTTACGGCAAACTATAATTTATTCAAGGGTGAACAAAATATTAATCCATAGAAGAAGAGATATTACAAGATCTGGGAACCGAAATAACGTTATTAATTCTCTCTCTTCTGACACACGGAATTATGACGAAAATACCCCTACGTCTGACACAATCTCTAAAAGCTAACTTGAGATCTTTCAAGACGAGAACAATGAATTATTAAACCAAACAATGAAGTCAAATACTGATAGATAATTAAGAACGTATCGGGTAACAACATTAACGGCTAACAACAAATTTGACAATGGTTAACAACGTTATCCAAAAATAGAAACACAATATCGAAACGCAGGACCAATAAAGAAGGTAAGTAATGCAACAAATAAGAAGCGGTGAATCATTAATATAAAATGTGACAAATGTAAAGTATAACTAGTAGGGTAACAAACAAAGTAGACGATAACAAGCGTCTTTCCATTAAAATGAGCGAGCCTTAAAAAGCTTTAAGAATCTATGAAATAGAAAAAGGTAACAAAAATAATAAACATTATCATAGGTACGGTCGCTAAATAAGTTATCGGCTAACTAATATATCGGATAAATACGTTATCGGCTTGGAAAAAGGCAGATCACATTCACTTATCAAGAGTTATAACACTAAGGTAATAAACCCATTAGACGTTAACACATATGTAAAACCTAATAGCCGTGCGCAGTTATATTCAAATGTAAAGTATAACTACTAGGATAACAAACAAAGTAGACGATAACAAGCGTTTTTCCAATAAAATGAATAAAGGACTTCTAAATAAGTTACGGGTAAATACGTTATCGGGTTAAGAAAAGGCAGATCAAATTCACTTAGGAAATGTTATATCATATTATACGTTACCCGTTAACACATATGTAAAACCTTGTAGCCGTTACGAAATGTGTGTTCAGCCACACAATGAAGTCAGATACTGATAGATAATTAAGAACGTAGCGGGTGACAACATTAACGGCTAACAACAAATTTGACAATGGTTAACTACGTTATCCAAAAATAGGAACACAATATCGAAACGCAAGACCAATAAAGAAGGTAAGTAATGCAACAAATAAGAAGCGGTGAATCAGTAATATAAAATGTGACAAATGTAAAGTATAACTAGTAGGGTAACAAACAAAGTAGACGATAACAAGCGTCTTTCCATTAAAATAAGCGAGCCTTAAAAAGCTTTAAGAATCTATGAAATAGAAAAAGGTAACAAAAATAATAAACATTATCATAGGAGATAGCGGGGTAGACAAGGTTGAAGGAAACAGTTAGTGGGGAAGATCATTGGAAGATTTATCGTAATTAGAAAGATCACTGGCGGACCAAGCGGATTTGTTCGGAAAATCCAACAAACCCCTGAGTGATGAATCTCTGATTAACTGAATTTCGTTTTTCCTCCAACGAGTCGATGATGCCTCTAAGAATTTTCATCTTGTAGTACACATTGGCCCTTTCTCCAAGGGGTTCTTCACCACCACCGATAAGACAATGATGAAGGTATCTCCCATCTATAAAACCCAGAAATAAAAACAATCTAAGAACAAAAAATACGACATAGATCCGAAAACATTAAACAAAAATAAAGTTTAATTGAGATACTTACTTTGACGAACTAATCGTAAACAAGCAGCAACTCGATCGAAGAATCGATATGAATATCGGAGGAAAAAAAGAAAATTCGGAGATAGATGAAAATTGAAAACACTGAGAAAAAAAATAAAAAGCAGTTGATATAGAGCCCAAAAAACACGATCCTTCGATTTCTCACCGTTCTCATGATTAATACAATACAAATCTTATTCTTAAAGAAGTCTCGAAAATCAATTCTTTGGAGAGATATGATATCTTTGTTCTGACACACGGCTACTTTTCCTGCATATATCTCTTTTATTAGATCATAGGAAAATAGGGGTTTATTGGTCATTTTTTGGCTACAGTCGATGGCCAAATAGTACAAAATCCTGTCAGTTAATTTCCAACTCCTCTGTGGTCACCGCCTATAGATTTCAAATAATAGATTCTTTACAAATCAAACGTTTTAGCCACATCGGCTTGTGAACAGAGTTAGAATAGAACTCTCCATTGAAAGAATTAAAACTTGCTAAATTATGAGCTATAAAATTTCCTGAACGTTTAGTAAAAGTAAAAATTACAGAGGAAAATTTGGTAGCCCAATGATCAATGTCCTGAAGAAGATTAACTAATTCACTGTGGTTCGATAGTCCATTGATCAATACCAGTTAATCAGTAAATTTTATTAACTAATGTATATATGGGATAATTGAAAAGAGCTGTGTCAAATTTTTCATTACCAAATAAGCTGTAGAAAAAAAATATTTAAGAAAGTTTCTAATTTTCTGGAACCACGTCTATACACCAAAATCATTATTAAAAAAAATAACATATCTACAAGTGTGTGAATCAACCACAATTCTCTTGATGTACAACTATGTTCAAGTATATGTAACTCTTCATGACAAACTAACCTTAAGTTAGACTTTAATCCTAGGGATCTTCCACGATACTAGCTCACCTCTAGAAACTACCGTCATTGCCTGCTGTTATAAGTTCGTGTTGCTCCACTTCATTTTTTTTTTTTTGGTAAACATGTGAAGATCTCCACTTCATTTTTTGACTTGGGTTCACGTTGAAAAGACATCATTCTCGCTTCTTTGTCAATTTGATGGTTCCTCTTCCCATGGACTGTTATTGTTCCTTGCCTTATTTAACAAGTGTACTTCAAAGTCTTGCCAAAAGCATCGCTTATGGTATAATCGATGATTTTGCACTCGAATATCTATGCTTCTATGTTTTTTTTCTCTTTTTCTTTGGTATGCGACCATATTTTTAGGATTTTGTTTGTTGTAAAACCTAAACTTTTTTTTTTGAAATAATATTTAGTTGTAAAAAAAAAACTACCTTCAAGCACCAACGACCCCTACGAACAATAACACAACGACGATTCAGCTCAAAACATCTAACACTTTACAAAACAAACGCAAACACGACGCCTTAATCTTCTTAATTAAAAATTGAACTCAAACTTCCTTTCTAAATCCCATTTCACATAAACTCCGTAATTTTCATATATTCTCATTAGCGAAAGGCTCGTGCAAGGATTTACGTCGTTTTTTAGAATTAAACCATAAGTTTAAATGACATTAGTTTGATAGGTTAACCCATTTAGCATGTTTATAGTGTAAATAAATGGATTACAGGCATAAATTCTTATATCGAGTTCATTTTAGGCCTGTAGACTCTAAATATATAATTATTGCAAACTCTAACATACATAGACAAGGAGAGGTAGATTATATGATATCTAAGTTTGGTATAGTAGTAATCTAATTTATGATTTCAGGAAATAAAACTTTTATCCTTTTGCTGTTATTGATTTCATAATTCTAAATTCAGTAAATTTAAGTGGATCATGATCGAACACCACACCTTACCCACTTTTAAAACGTTGGCCCATGATCATATCAATGTCACATAAATATATATTCATAAAAAATTAAATTATATGTACACGTGTCGATACTTTAGCCTAGTGAAAGGTCAAAGTCAAAACGCTAAAAATTAATGTTCTAAGGGCATCTCCAACCATAACACTATTTTGGTGCTCAAATAACACTATATTTGGTGTAGATTTGACACTAAAATATTTTCCTTCTCCAACCATAACACTAAATATCACACTAAAAATAATATGTTCTATTATTATATTATTAAACTAAAGATGCCTTTTATTTGTAATATTTTTAATTTATTAATTAATATAAAATTACAATCGATATATCAAAAATAGCTTTTAATTTTATAAGTTTATGTTTTCCATGGTTAATTGAATTTTATTATGTATTTTTCAATATTGTTGTTGTTTTAATATTTTCTACTGATTTATATTGCATATTATCAAAAATAAAAATAAAAAATATATGGTTTTGATACATTATTTTTTTACTTACAAAATTTAGTAAGATTATTCAGTTACAAGACAAATCATATTTAGTATACTATAACTAAATAATAATGTTAATGTAAAAAAAAAAATATTTTATTTTTACCGTTGCTACAGTAACACACCAAATATAGTGGAGTACTGTACAAAATAAAGGAATCACACTATTATAGTGTAATATTTACAGTTGGGTTGGAGTAAAAAAGTGGACTGCATCACTTCAAAATGCAGTTTTACCGTTGCCTTGGAGATGACCTAAATCACCCAATCACATGCCATGCGCGTGTTAACACGGTTAAATTGTCCACACCACACGTGTGAAATGCTTACTTATTTTTTTATTTTTATTCAACAGCTTATCTTATCTTCCGATATTAGATTATTAGTGGTTCGTGTACCTCACGTACTTTCTCGACGCGTGCTATATGAAGTCCAAAATCGTTTCAATTAGCCGTTAGGATGTCGACAGCGTGGCAACAACTGTTGTAATAAATTCTCATTAAAAACAATTATAACCGATGAAAAGAGAAAATAGTACTACATCAATTTGCATGTATAAAGATTTTTGTTTTTAGCTTTTGGATTTGTAAATTCTTAGTTTTTTTTTTGGAATATTCTATTTCCAAAATTTTATTGGATGATTATTATTTTATTTAAATATTGATAGATTATGACCATGTAAGTTGTAACTTATAAGGGTAAGGCCTTGGAATTTTACTGTTCATCCTAATTTTTATTATTATTATGAAATGCTTAAACTCTTAAATAGTAACTTTCACATCTACCAGCCACCAACATATGATCTCCATTTCTTGTAAATAATCCAATTCAAAACCCAAAAAAATTACCATTTCTTCCAAAAACGATCTTTCCACATCTTATATGTGTTTGCACTGTCAAAAACCATCATTGGTCGATTAAATTTAATATCCATCCAAGTTTTACTTTCACTTAAAGCGTAATTTACGTACTAAAATTTGGAAACTCCCAAATTTCTTTATATCTTAAACAGCTTTCTATTCTCAACTTTCCATAATATACACCACATAATTTAAAAATATATCTTCTTCTACATTGAGAATCAGAATGATTGGAGATGGCTGGTGGACATAAAAAAGTAAGGAATAGACCACATAAATAAATAAAGCATAAATCATATAAGTATTAACATTACCTTTTGATTGATAATTGGCTTACACTTTCAAGTTTATATCGGGATTATTTCATTACCTTTTAAAAAAATAAAATGTATAAAACCACTTGCTACAATTAGAAGATTTTTAGATCCACGACAAAAGAAAAGATGTTCTTTGTCAATCATTCTACTTAAGCTATAGGACCAGGTTTAAACAAAACTCATGTCGGTATGTCTCTCAGTGTCAAGATCTAAAGTTTTTTTTTTTTTAATAGAGAGATTGAAAGAGACAAAACTTCAATAATTTATTCATGGATGCCGCTTCTAGTGAAGTGATGGTTGGAACGAAACTAATATTACATGCTGTAGTTTTAGGTCTAGGGGGATTATGGACTTTGGTCCAGAACCTCTGGTATTAAAAAAAAAAAAAAAAAAAAAATTGTTATTTTCATAGCTTCTAAAAGTCAAAACCTTTGATTGTCAAAAAAAAAAAAAAAAAAAAAAAAAAAAAAAAAAATCAAAACGGTCCTGAAAAAATAAAAACTTTAGATAAACTGAAAAAAAAAAGTAAAAAGGAAAAATCTTATCGTCTTCTTTGTTTGTTCGTTACAGTTTTTTTTTTATAAAATCCGACAGAAACTTTAACTCAAGAGAGTGGGTCAGGTCTGTTCAATCTCTATCAAAATCCCTTTCGACATCATTCATAAACACTGACGAATCAGTGAAACAATATCTCAAACCCAGAAACCAACAATAATTCATACTACTATACAAAATTCTATATAATAATCTGTTTATCTTCTCTCTCTCTGGTGGGTTTCCCGCGTGGCTTGCGTGTTACTTCACATTCATCAGTGCTTTAGCTTCTCTTCATATGAATCTCGAGGCAATCCAGTCACTGCCTTCTCTCACTCCCCATCTCTAGGGTTTCTCACTCTTTCCCTTTTTAAAACTTTATGTCATTGAATCTCTAAATCTCTTTCTCTTTTGTGGAGTACATTTATCTAAAGCTTAGATTTTTATTTGGGTTTCAAGCAAACCAAAAAAAGATACGATTTTTATGATGCTCTGATTAGATCTCCTGTTTTCTGATACACTTTCTCCTTTCGTGTCAATCAGAACCCAAATAAAGAAACCAAATCGTTTGTTCGTGTCAAAGTTTCAGTAGTAATCAGAACTGCGTTTGTTCTCAAAGGTTTCTTTGTTAATGTTTTGTACAATTCTTCTAATTTGTGGGGTTTTTATGTTGGTTCCTGTCTCTAAAGGTTCGATTTTGATGTGTTTCCTTGTTTGTAATCAGATTTGAATCTTAAAGTTTCTATTTTTATGACTTGATCTTAACAAATTGTGACTCTTTTCAGGTTAAACTGTGAGATTTGGAGCAACAAAAGTAACAAATCATGGCAACACTTCAAGACATTGGTGTATCAGCAGGGATAAACATCCTCACTGCATTCATTTTCTTCATAGTCTTTGCTTTTTTAAGACTTCAGCCATTCAACGACAGAGTTTACTTCTCCAAATGGTACCTCAAGGGGTTAAGAAGCAGCCCTGCAAGTGGCGGCGGATTCGCGGGGCGGTTTGTGAATTTGGACTTGAGATCATACCTCAAGTTCTTGCATTGGATGCCTGAAGCTCTCAAGATGCCTGAGCGTGAGCTGATTGATCATGCTGGTTTAGACTCTGTTGTCTATCTCCGGATTTACTGGCTCGGGTATGAAAAAGATTTGGATTCTTATTTAGTATTAGGAAGAGGAAAATAAGTAGAGTCTGTGGTCAAGATTTGATAAATAGATTATGTTTTTATGCTAATTTTGTCATGAGGAAGAGGAAATTACGTTGACTAAGTCTTTAGAAAGCAGAAGCTGTTTTTATGTCTGTCCATTAGATTTGAGTCATTTTCTTGGTTATCTTATGTTGCAGGCTTAAGATTTTTGCTCCAATAGCAATGCTTGCTTGGGCAGTTCTTGTACCGGTTAATTGGACGAACAATGAGTTGGAGTTGGCTAAGCATTTAAAGAATGTTACTTCAAGTGATATCGACAAGCTAACAATTTCAAATATCCCAGAGTCTTCACATAGGTTTGTTACACCAATCTTGAGTGTGTTTTTTCTCGGGTGCTTTAAAATGTCGGTTTTAGGTATACATCTCGAGTTACATTGTATTGATTTTTTCCAGGTTTTGGGCTCACATCGTAATGGCTTACGCCTTCACAATCTGGACTTGTTATATGCTGATGAAGGAGTATGAGACGGTTGCTAACATGAGGCTTCAGTTTGTTGCCACAGAAGCCCGTCGACCTGACCAGTTTACTGTAAGATTCGTATCATTTCCCGTGGTTAAATTCAGAACACAGCTGGTACTGATCTTGTATGCCATGACGTTTTGACAGGTTCTTGTTAGGAATGTACCTCCGGACCCCGACGAAACTGTGAGTGAGCTTGTGGAGCATTTTTTCCTAGTCAATCACCCTGATAACTACCTCACACATCAGGTAAAATTTCTCATAAGCATTTCTTGGGGTACAAAACGATTTCTACTGGTTTTTCTTCCTTACTTCTGGAATCAATATATAGGTTGTATACAACGCAAACAAGCTCGCCGATTTGGTTAGTAAAAAGAAGAAGCTGCAGAATTGGCTTGACTATTATCAGCTCAAATACACTAGAAATAACTCTCAGACCAGACCTATTACGAAGGTACTTACAGTGTTAAACGTGATCATTCTGATGTTTTCTTTCTCCTAGCTCTTGTTCTGTTAAGTAATAACCGTCTTCTCGCTTCTTTTTATCAAACCCAGCTTGGTTGCCTTGGCTTGTGTGGACAAAAAGTTGACGCAATCGAACATTACATTGCTGAAGTTGATAAAACATCAAAAGAGGTAAGCTTTGTGGTCTGTCTGGTTTCCATTTTTGTGCCATCTAATGCTTAATATTCCTTTTTGGTTTAAAATCTGCATTGTTTGTAGATTGCTGAAGAGAGGGAGAATGTGGTGAATGATCAAAAGTCAATCATGCCAGCATCTTTTGTCTCCTTCAAAACCCGTTGGGCTGCTGCTGTTTGCGCTCAGACCACACAGACCCGAAACCCAACCGAATGGCTAACCGAATGGGCTGCAGAGCCTCGTGATGTGTATTGGCCAAACCTTGCGATTCCATATGTTTCTTTGACTGTAAGAAATTTGGTTATGAATGTAGCCTTCTTCTTCCTTACCTTCTTTTTCATCATCCCTATCGCGTTTGTACAATCTCTTGCTACCGTTGAGGGAATTGAGAAAGTTGCGCCATTCTTGAAGTTCATTATCGAAGAGTGAGTTCTCTTCTATTCTAACATTTTTCCATTCTTCATGACATTGAATGTGATGAACATGTTAACTAACAGTGGACCCCCGATTGATTATCCTTTTTATTCGCAGTAAATTCGTAAAATCGCTGATACAAGGTCTGCTAGCCGGTATTGTGCTGAAGCTTTTCCTCATCTTTCTGCCAGGCATACTGATGACCATGTCCAAATTTGAAGGCTTTACTTCAGTTTCATCCTTAGAAAGACGATCCGCGTCTAGATATTACATCTTTAACTTAGTGAACGTCTTTCTTGGAAATGTTATCGCTGGAGCTGCGTTTGAGCAGCTTAACTCTTTCCTCAATCAGTCGCCTAATCAGTACGCGACTCTCTATATCAGTTTTTTTCGTTCTTTCTGGGTAATGGGCTTTTCTAAGGACTCTTCTTTTTCAATCTGTGCAGAATCCCTAAGACAATTGGCATGGCGATACCAATGAAAGCAACCTTCTTTATCACATATATAATGGTTGATGGTTGGGCAGGAGTTGCAGGAGAGATTCTTATGTTAAAACCTCTCATTATATACCATCTCAAAAACGCACTCTTGGTGAAAACAGAGAAAGACAGAGAGGAAGCAATGAACCCGGGAAGCATCGGTTTCAACACTGGAGAGCCTCAGATACAGCTTTACTTCCTTCTCGGTCTTGTCTATGCTCCCGTGACACCAATGCTTCTTCCTTTTATCTTAATCTTCTTTGCGCTTGCTTACGTCGTATATCGCCATCAGGTAAATGTAGTTTCTTCCTCGCCTAAATTTGATCAAACTGGCTAGTTTGAAGAGATTATACACAAATCTTCAAACTTGAACTTTTTTTTTTTTTTTCTTATTATCAGATCATAAATGTGTATAATCAAGAGTATGAGAGCGCTGCTGCGTTTTGGCCAGATGTTCATGGACGGGTTATAACGGCATTGATCATATCTCAGTTGCTTCTGATGGGTTTGATAGGTACAAAACATGCCGCTTTAGCTGCACCGTTTCTCATCGCTCTTCCCGTGATTACCATCAGTTTCCACCGCTTCTGTAAAGGCCGTTATGAACCCGCCTTTATCCGATACCCCTTACAGGTCAGTTTCTTCTACATATCTGTAAAATTCACAGCTACATAGATTTATATTTTTCGGTGTAGTTCGATTTTTGTCACTGTTTAGATCAGTTCAACCGGATTGGACACACTATTACTCCTACCATTTTAATCTGTGTTATATATATTGCGATTCCTCATCGGTTTTACGAGCCCGGAGATGGCAAAATGTTGATTATTCTATAGGAAGCTATGATGAAAGATACATTGGAAAGAGCAAGAGAGCCAAATCTGAACCTGAAAGGTTACTTGCAAGACGCTTATATTCATCCGGTTTTCAAAGGCGGTGATGACGACGACGATGGTGACATGGTCCGAAAATTGGAGAATGAAGTCATCATAGTGCCAACAAAACGCCAATCGCGGAGGAACACTCCCGCGCCAAGCAGAATCAGTGGTGAATCGTCTCCATCTTTGGCCGTTATTAACGGTAAAGAAGTCTAGTTTAACTGTTTCAGTAAAAGCACCTGCATACGACTAAAGTATGAATATAGTTCATGTATGTATGTACTTTTATATGTATATAGAGAGTTTGTGTTTTTTGCTTAGAGACGTTGATGGGTTTTTATTGTTGAAGTATTAAAGTTTCGGGGTCTTTTTAGAATAATATAATTTTTACTGGGTGTTTTCTCAACATTCGATTTCTTCTTAATTCCACGTGATAATCTTGCTAACAAAATTATACGAAGAATTTTTTTTTTTTTTTTTTGTGAGTGAGAGGGAGGCAATATACGAAGAGTTTGTAGAAGTAAACAGAAAATATTTAACCAGTAATGAAACAACAATTGCATTATTTTGTTTGCAACAGAAATTAAATTGAATTTTTTTTTTTTTTTTTTTTTTTTTTTTTTTTTTTTTTTTTTAAATTAAATTGAACTTAAAGAAAGCCACATTACAAAACATGAAATCTTTCTTATATCTAATAATAGAGATACATGATAATTCGTCAAAAAAAAGAAGGTATATGATTTATACCTGGTCGATATCCTAACGATTAAAAAATCGTAACTACTGATTTAACAACAGTATATATCGACAACATAACAATGTCGTGACTTATACAAAGCCATGTTACAAAATAAGATATTGAATCCTTTTTTTTTTTTTTTTTTTTTTTTTTTTTTTTTTTTTTTTTTTTTTTATTGAATCTTATTTATAAATGTAATGATTTCACATCGTTGAGATCCTAAGGAAAAAATAACGCAATTATTGTTTTCACAATAGTAGCAATCTCAACTCCATACCGAATGACGTAGAGAAATGTTGCCCAAGACATTTTGCCGGAAACTACGATCGATGTATTTCAAGAAAGATAAACAAAAAATGAGAGTGAAATTTGTGAATTACGTTAAAAAAAAAATGAAGTATTGAGGCTAATTTATAGAGGGTGAAAGGTGGTGAATAAAGCAATGCAATGGGCAATGAACTCTTCTTGTAAATCTGTAAAATCATTTAAGACAGTGCATAAATATTAATTGAGAGAGTCAATAAATCTATAAATTCGAACATCGTAACTTGTTGAGTTTGGTGGGAATATGGAACGTTCTACAATGTCGAGTTTGGGCCTTAAGTCCAAATTTATCCTAACTCTGTTGAGCCCAAACTGTCCCAACTACTCATGTATAGCTGAACAAAATAATTTTTACTACATCAGTATATCAAAATGTTCAATTTTTTTGTATATATATATAAATTTTAGATTTCTGGAAGTTTTTTTTTCTATAGAATGTATTAAAACAAAATATGAATAGAAAGTGTTTTTAATTTATGCTATAATTATGTTATGTGTATATAAATTGTTAAGAGTAATTTTCAAGCTATCAATATGATCGTGACATATGATCAACACCATGTCGAAATCGACTCTCAGCCGATTAGCCATAACTTGCATAAAATAATTTAACGGCCAGAGTAAACGGTTCATCTTCTAAAACAATTTATGTTAGTGATTATATATTTTGGATTATTTAAAGCCGACCAAACATTAAATGCACTCGTACAAAAAGTCATGTCTATTTTGATAGCGCACATCATAGATTCTCAAAAGTGATATTTTTCACCCAAACCAAAACCAAAGCAATGTGTCAAATTAGCCAAAACACAATACAATCGATCTCCTAAAGTTTTACGATTATGGCAATCCGATCCAACCACTAAAAAATCTGGTCACAAAACCAAAACATGTTATTTTCTATATATACATATTCACTCGGAAGCAAAGGAAGATGTGAGGACGACGAACATCAAGAGAGCGAATCTATCAAGAGATTGATCACACACATAAGCTAAATCGACCATATGCTCTCACACACGCTATAATAGGTTCTTCAACGTAAAGTTGAAGAACCAACTCTTCTTCCAATTATTTTTATCAAAATCTTTGGTTTGAATCAAATCCGTCCAACGTAACCACATTTGCCTCTCGTAGAGCTCCAATCTCATTTTGAGGATTACATCGTGCTAAACCCTCGTATCTTTTTTGGGACCTTTCGATCAGTAACGTTGTCTAATTATGTTTAAAGATAGTTATTGGAAGGGACAATCTCCATGATGACATAACCATGTCTTTGTCTTCATATCAATGTGATATTATTCTTGCTCAACTCAAAAAATATTTTTAGCCGTTAGACCAAATGATAACTGTTAAAAAAAAAAGTTCTGTTGACGAAAACGACGTCGTTTCGTTAATTTTGTTTCCAACTGATCTCAATTTTCAAGGTTCAAAAGAGCACACACTTATCTCAAATTATCCACTGAAACATTCGTCGTCTCCGGCAAAAAAACCACAATGAGCTCTCATCAAATCCTCCAATTTCGTTCTGACCCATTTGTGCTGTCACACTGTTGCCGCCATACACGCCTCACCAGCTCTCTCACGCTTCAATCTCCTCTAAAGCAGCCTTTTTCCGGTCTTCGTTTCCGGTGGCGTCGCTCTAATCACGGCGGAGTCAGGAGCTCAACGACGGAGACTCAGAGTAACAATGGGAACCGAAAAGAAGAAGCTTTGGTGTCGGAAACGGCGACGACGACGATTGAATTGAAAAGGGTCTATCCATTTCACGAAATTGAGCCCAAGTGGCAGCGTTATTGGGAAGATAACCGAACTTTTCGGACACCAGACGATGTCGATACTTCGAAACCTAAGTTCTACGTCCTCGACATGTTTCCATATCCAAGGTCTCTTCTTTTTTAATATTGATTATGTAGAAAGTTCACAACTTTGACTAATTGAGAAGCTACTTAAGCTTAAAGTTGTGGTTTTTCATAAGTTTCCATAAATTTTAGTAGCATTCTTGGATTTTGTATAGATGAATTTGTGTGTGTGTGTGTTGTGGTTTGTTCTTCAGTGGAGCAGGATTACATGTGGGACATCCATTGGGTTATACAGCAACTGATATTCTAGCGAGGCTTAGGCGAATGCAAGGTTACAATGTTCTGCATCCTATGGGATGGGATGCTTTTGGATTGCCTGCAGAACAATATGCTATTGAGGTCCATTTTCTTTTTTCTCAAGTCATTATGGATGCTTTTGTTGATAAAATTTTGTGTCCTTATGAGTATTTGTAATCTGCGTTGCAGACAGGAACCCATCCGAAAACTACGACATTGAAGAACATTGACCGCTTTCGTTTACAGGTGATGTATTTCTTTCAATTTAGCACTAGCCTAGAAAATTCAGTTTTCTTTAGTGTTCATCTTTTTCCATGAAAGATGAATATTCAAAGTTCTGATATCGGTTGTGTTGTGAATCTCGAATCTTGATCATCTTCAATTTTCCGGATTACTTATCCTTGAAGATTATGCAAAAGGGTCTTTAATAATGTTTAGATGTAGTATTGCTGCTTTGGACTGTTTGCTTAGGTCTACCACTGGAGTAAAGATCCGAGGACCTTTATGAATGTGTTTCTTTTTGTTTGTTTGCAGCTCAAATCACTGGGCTTCTCATACGATTGGGACCGTGAGCTTTCTACAACAGAGCCAGACTATTATAAATGGACACAATGGATCTTTCTTCAGCTTTATAAGAGAGGTTTGGCATATCAGGTCAAAATCATTTTCTAGTTCACATGTTAAAACCGTGCATTTGTGTATAGAAAAGTTCTTTGAAAGATTGTAAATTCAGGCTGAAGTACCCGTCAATTGGTGCCCAGCTCTTGGTACTGTTTTGGCCAATGAGGAAGTGGTGGATGGTGTTAGTGAGCGTGGTGGCCACCCAGTTATAAGAAAGGTACTATCTATTACCATCTGGGAATATTATATCGTTTTCCCCCTTTCGAAATCTGTATTCCTCTGTTTTGAAAATTCTCATGAATTTTACAGTGACATTGTTTATTACCAAGCAGCCGATGAGGCAATGGATGCTGAAGATTACTGCGTACGCTGATCGTCTTCTGGAAGATTTAGACGAGCTCGAGTGGCCTGAAAGTATAAAGGAAATGCAAAGAAACTGGATAGGAAGATCCGAAGGAGCTGAATTGAATTTTTCATTTCTTGATGGCGAAGGCAGAGAAACCGACAAAAAGATTACAGTTTACACCACGAGGCCAGATACACTTTTTGGAGCAACGTATGCTTAAAGGATTAAAAATATTGATGATTTAACATCTGAAATCTTGATCTTGATTGTCTTAATATGATCTGTTCTTCCATTCGCAGTTACATGGTTGTGGCACCAGAACATCATTTGTTGTCTTACTTTGTAACCGCAGAACAGACACAGCAAGTAAGAGTTTTTTCTTCTTTCGATTATTCAACTTGCCTTTCAGATTTGCATGAGTCCTCTCATATGGTTGCAGGTTGAGGAATACAAAGATTTCGCTTCGAGAAAAAGTGATCTTGAGAGAACAGAACTTCAGAAGGACAAGACAGGCGTATTCACGGGATGTTATGCAAAAAATCCAGCTAATGGTGATGCTATTCCCATATGGGTAGCTGACTATGTTCTAGCAAGGTCAGTTCGGTCTAACTATTTATATTGCTTTGAATTGAATTTGTGTAAAAGAGAACGTTGTTATATGTGACAGTTATGGAACCGGAGCAATCATGGCAGTCCCAGCTCATGATACTCGGGATAATGAGTTCGCATTGAAGTATAACATTCCGATCAAGTGGGTAGTCAAAAATGAGGCAAATTCAAGTGATGATGCCAAGAAAGTTTATCCCGGATTGGGCATAATTGAAAATTCATCAAGTTCAGAGACAGGACTTGACATAAATCAACTATCTAGCAAAGAAGCTGGTTTAAAAGTTATTGAATGGGCTGAGAGAACCGGAAATGGAAAGAAAAAGGTTCATCTTCGTGTCTTTCTCATTTGGATTATGTAAAAAGTGTTCTTCTTGTTTCTTACTCAAAAGGCTTTTGGCAGGTAAATTACAAGTTGAGGGATTGGCTATTTGCACGGCAGCGTTATTGGGGTGAACCTATCCCGATTTTAATTTTGGATGAGTCTGGTGAAACTATTGCTGTTTCAGAATC